TATAGGTCAAGTTCATCAAATTGTAGCAATCTACCCTCGTTTCCTTTATAAAATATATATATATATATTTTTTTAGCGGAGTTCTGATTATCAAGCCATCAAGGCTAGGTCAAACAGGTACTATCTGGAAATTTGGGTATTCTTAGTGCGTATCCCCTCACTTCACATCAGCTGGATGCTTCATTCTCATCCCTAGCCTTCTATGGCTATGACCTTGTCCATGGGCTCAGACATCCCCGGGTCTCACCACACTTTGGACCAACCAGCCCTTCCTCTTCTCTCTCTCATCTCCAGGTCAACAGGAGTCTATGGAACGTGGTTGAACTCAGACCATTTCTTCATTTCTGCCTTTCCCCCTCTTCCACTCACCAGTAGACCAATGAGATCATCAGCAAGCTTACATGCCTGCTCATGTGTTCCCTTTCAGTCTCGGTCTTAGAGAGGGGTTTGTCCTGAAGGAACTTGATTGCTTGCCTTATTGGCTTCCCAGCAAACAACTTGCTTATTCTTGTAGTAACCAGTCATACAACATGTTGGTTTTGGGTTTTTCCTGATGATATTTCTTTGAAGATGTATCTTCTGTCTCTCTAGCTGTTCCAGGATGGTCTGCTTGTCCCTTTTAGTGGGAATATCCCACCGCAGAAGGTTCTGGATGGAGCTCAGGATTCCACCTAAGGTCCTATACACTACAAAGGCTCCACAAGAGGTCTATTTCACTGGGCAAGTTGTAGAACCCTTTTTAGGTATTCAAATCAGTTATAGGCTGAAGACGGGCCTATAAGCTTTCTGTAATCATGTTCCCTGACATTCCATTCTATCCTACTCTAGTGTCTATTTTACAATAGTAGGCAAGGGAAACCAATATTCATAAGACAGTTAAGTATCTTATTATTTAGTATTAGTCCCCCTTTTCAGACTATGCCTTGATCCCAGTATTACAGATCCCTGTTGTTTCAAGGTTGAGAAGAAAATAGTTTCTTGATAAATTAAACATTCTATCATGGTTATAAGACAGGTAAAGGGGGATGGAAAAAAATAACAAAATAAAGTGAATAGTGATAAACATCATTATGAAAAAAGAAAGAAGAGCTGTGACATGAATAGATATATGCACACCCATGTTCACTGCAGCACTGTTCACAATAGCAAAAAGATGAAGACAGTCTAAGTGCACATCAACAGAAGAATGGTTAAAGAAACTTTGGTACATACACACACACAATGGGATATTACACATTGTTGAAGAATAATGATGAATCTGCAAAGCACCTCATAACATGGATGAACTTGGAAGACATTATGGTGAGTGAACTGTCACTCACAAAAGGACAAACATTGTATGAGACCACTGTTGTAAAAAGTTAAGATGATATTTTCTTGCTAAATGAAACATTCTATGATGGTTACACTGTGGTGGGAGGGAAGGGAAAACTATTCAGTGGCTAAAGGGTAGACACAGTTAACTTGGGTGATGGGGAAGGCAATATACAAGAGGGAGGTTGGCACAGGTAAGATGAAGGTAGTGGAAGACACAGGGAGGCATTTAAGAGTTTACAGTGAATAGAGGTTGTTGTTGTTAAGTGCCGTCGAGTCAGTTTCAACCCATAGCGACCCTATGTAGGGTTTCCAAGGAGCAGCTAGTGAGCTTGAACTGCCAGCTTTGAGGCTGAAGCCGACTTTGCAGTCCAGCGCATTAACCAACAGCACCACACAAACTCATGATACATGGAAAGGATTGCCATCATTGTAATGACACTATGTGTATTTGTATTTGTTTGATTTGTTGAATGTGGGACAGATGATCTGTTCTGTAAATCTTCAGTCAATTCACATTAAAACAAAAATTTTTTAAGGTAAGGGGGGGGATCTGTCTTCCCACTAAAATTTAAATTCTAAGAGAGCAAGAGGACATCTTATTTACTTTTTTATTCCTAATATCTAAGAGCTAGTAGAGTCCTGGTATGGCACTACAGGATAATGCACTGGACCACAAGGTCAGTTTGAACTGAAAGGTCAGCGGTTCAAACCCACCAGTCACTTCTCGAAAACCCTATACAGGGTCACTATTAGTCAGAATCGACTCGATGGCACTTAACAAAAACAAACAACAAATAATAAATTTTCAGTCAATATTTGTTGACTGAATAAATTGTATTAACTCTCAGAGTTGTACTCAAGCAAAGATACCAAGAGATACATACACATATTCACCATTTATTAAGCACCAGACCCAAGCCTCATGTTGCCTGGAATTCAGCTTCTTTCAAAATACAAAGTAATGCATAGTTGAATGCTGTACCACCATGATTACTCATTCTGGGAATCTGAAGAAGGCTCTTTTTAATTCAGTGCTTTTCTTGTCTCCCCTCTCTCTCTCCATGTGTGTCTGTGTGAGACTCTAGCCTGCACTTTGGGGTTTTAACCCATCTCCAGAACAACACTAATTTTGTTCTTAACCAAAGAAGCAGGAGACATGACAAAAGGAAGATTTTTTAAATGCTTACTTTTAATGGGAGAAGACTGTGTATGCAGGAACAAAAAACACCTGAGGAGATCTGCAATAAGAAGGCTCTTTCAAATAGGAAGACTGCAATTTGATTTCAGTATGTGAGGGATCAGATTTGGTGATGAAGTAGTGCTGTTTCCTTGGCCTGCTTTATCCAACATAGATTTAAACCCATTACCCATCCCCAAAGCATCAAATAGATTTTAAATAGCTTTTATCCTATTCTGAGATGTTAGGGGGAAAAAATATGTGCACACATGTGCATGTACATGTATGAGGGAACTTCAAAGAGTTCATGGGAAAATAGAACTAAAAAAATGGAATTTTTCTATGAGCTTTTGAAGCCCCCTCATGTGTGTGTATATACTAAACCACCAACCAAACTCATGGCCATCAAGTCAATTCTGACTCATAGCAACCTGACTTATGGTTTCCAAGACTGTAAATCTTTATGGAAATAGACAGCTTCATCTTTCTTCCATGGAGCAGCTGGTGGGTTTGAACTATTGACCTTGCATTTAGCAGCTCAAGGCTTAGCCCACAGTGCCACCAGTGCTCATTTAATATATATACTTCAGTGTCAATGCAGCACTGCAACCCCAACCAGGACTCCTTCTTTCGATTCTTAATCATTTTAGATCTTCCTGATTCCTTCATTTTAGGTTCAACACAGGACTAACTGCATAGCTTGCGGGTCTTAATGCAAAACAAAAAACACAGGACCCCTTGTTCAAATATTAAGCATTTCAAGATGGCAATGGCAAAGCATTACAACAAACATAGTATCCTACTGAGGTCACCAGCCCATGAAACCAGCTCTCTCAAATTAACATCAACAACATAAGGACCTTGATGATGTAGTGAGTTACTGAATTGGGCTGCTAATTGCAAGGTCAGCAGTTTGAATCTACCAGTCCCCTTGAGGGAAAAAGATGAGGCTGTCTGCTGCTGTAAAGATTTACCACCTCATATGAATGAACTGGGAATAATCTTCGTTCATAACAATCTTCATCTCTTTCATCACTATTTCAGTCGTGTTTATTTTATGGTTATCTAGTTATTTTAGAAAATGTAATTACAAAAAAATAAAACCTTAAGTTAAAAAAGACTTACAGCCTCAGAAGCCCTAGATAAGGTCAGTATGAGTCGGAATCACTTGATGGCAATGGTTTGGGTGTTTTGGGTTTACCTCTAATTTATTAGAGGCCGTTCTGATTATGGTGTGGTGCTGTAGGATAAAGCACTGGGCCTCAAGGTCAATTTGAATCACAAAGTTAATGGTTCAAATTCACCAGCCGCTCATTGGAAACCTTATACAGGGTTGCTATGAGTGAGAACTGACTCAATGGCACTCAACAACAACTGATTATGGAGTCCTGGTGTGGCATTGTAGGATAAACACTGGACTGCTAACCACAAACTCTGCAATGCAAACCCACCAACTGCTCCTCAGAAACCCTATGTAGGGTCACTATGAGTTGAAAGTGACCCAACGGCACTTAACAATAACTACTACTACTCTGATTATAGGAGCACCATGGCTCCATATGATAAGGACTGGACTGTAAACTGCAAGGTCTGTGGTTCAAGCTCGTCAGCACTCCATGGAAGAAAGATGAGGCTTTCTGCTCCTGCGAAGATTTAAATCCTTGGAAAGCCTATACAGGGTTGCTATGGGTCAGAACTGACTCAATGGTACTTCACAACAACTGCTCTGATTTAGTTCCCAGCCCTCCCTAGTTAAGAAATGGAGCCCCTTCTAGGTCTTGATATAGACTCTTAATTAGCTTCCAGTCTTTTTTCAGAAAAGCTTTCCTTTTGGGAGCCATGAGTAAATGTTCCTTTATTCACTTACTATTACTGCTGCATGAGAACAAACTTGCTCTGACTCTATGTGTTCCCAGCTTGTCCAGGGCAGGATGCAGATCTAAGTGTGAAGCTCACCAGTAGGGAAAACCTCTATGTACCTAAAAAGAAGCAGCTTCTAATGAGTCAGAAGGCCCTCACCAAGCAGACTTCCTCCCCATGTGCCAGCAACCAGAACCAGGGGCATGCTGGGAAAACCTCTTCACCATCCAAACCTTTGCCCTGGGTCCAGAGTCTGCCCAGTCTAGATAGTCACTAAGAGCAACTGGAAGCCACAAAGAACAGACATCCCTTATTTTCCAGGTCCTGGGGGTTATAATTCCTAACTCCAAACACTGGCAGCTCCTGAGATCAAGAGAAGCAAGGCCAGGGTAAGAGGTCGGGGAGAGACATCCCACATCAGATCCTTGACCTGAAGGAGGTGTTCTACCTAAGAAGAGCAGGTAGGCAATCTATTGGGAGCCAGAGGCTAAAAGCAATAAAGTAAAGGTAATGCTGGTGTCAGACCCAGAGTAGATTTGGGAAAATGCTCTGCAGAAGGGAGAAGAGGACCAATGGTGGCGGAGAGCTGACTGCTAACCCCTACCACATTCAGGGGTGTGTGAGAGTTACCCCAACACCTGAGGCCATGGCCAATGCAGAAGATGAGCCAAGAAACTGTGTGGTATGTGGGGACCGAGCCACAGGCTACCATTTCCATGCCCTGGCCTGTGAGGGCTGCAAGGGTTTCTTCAGGTAAGAGCCTCCTCTCCAATAGAAACAACCCCCTAAACTGCCTGTCAGTCAACCTTTAAGCCCTGAGACAAGTTTGAGCTTGTCCAGCTTCATTATTTCTGTGTCCTAGAGTTCAACTGCCCTGTGGCTCTGCCACATCTTGCCAACTACAACACTGTATAAACAGGTGACATGACAACAAGAGAGAAGGCCAAATATTTGTCCTCCAGACAGGCCACATTAGTCAAGAGCACTTACCATCCACACACTACCTACAAAGCGCAGAATTAAGTACTATGTCAAATGTGCTCCCATGGTACTGCTGGTGGTTCACACCCTTGGAGACCCTTGAGCGCAGCCCAAACCAGATTCCCAGTCCTTTTAGATCATATCAGGCCCTCACATACCCACCTGTTTATTCACCGCCATCCCCATCCCTAACAATGCCTATCTGTCACAGACGAACAGCCAACAAAAGCACTGGTCTCACCTGCCCCTTTGCTGGAAACTGTGAGGTCAGCAAGGCCCAGAGGCGCCACTGCCCAGCCTGCAGGTTACAGAAGTGCCTCAATGCTGGCATGAGGAAGGACAGTAAGTGACCCTGTTATGCCAAGAATCCATGGACTGCCTCTGTTTTGCCCTCTTTCATCCTAGAGTATTCACCACATAGCAGCCAGAGTAAACTTTTCAAAATAAGTCAGATATGTCACTATTCTGCTCAAAACCTCAAATGGCTCCCCTTCTCTTTTAGGATACATTATCTGGTCTAGCTCCCCAACTCTAACCTCTCAGAATTTGTTTCTTACTCTTTCTTTCCCCCTTGCTTGATCCATTCCAACTACACTGACTTCCCTGACATCCTCAAACACACAGATTCGACTCTCCTGGGACTTCTGAACTTATTCTTTTATTCCCTCTACCTGGAGTGCTCTTCCCATAAGTATTCATATGACTACATTTTCCTCTTCTATCACCTGAATATGGAGTCCTGGTGTGGCGCTGTGAGCTAACGCACTGGATTACAAGGTTGGTGGTTCAAGCTCACCAGACACTCCTTGGAAACCCTATACAGGGTTGCTATGGGTCAGAACTGACTCGACAGCACTTAACAACACCTGAATATAGTGCCTCATCTAGTTGTCAGTTCATAATAGCAGCCCTGTTCAGGGTTTCCAAGAAGTGGCTAGTGGGTTTGAACGTGGACCTTAAAGTTAACAGTCCAGTGCTTATCCTACAGCGCCAGGCCAGGACTCCCATCACCTAATTGTTGTTGTTAAGTGCTGTCGAGTTGGTCCTCACTCATAGCGACCCTGTATAGGATTTCCAAGTAGCAGCTGATGGGTTCGAACTGCCAACCTTGTGGTTCACAGTCCAGTGCTGATCCTACAGCACCACAGTAGGATTCCTATCACCTAATGAACACTAAGTAATTGTTCAGTTCACTTATTTAAGGATTTCTTTGTGCCAGGTAAGTTATGCTATATTTTCAAGAGATGATATAATTGGGGCTCACAGAAGTTAACTTACCCAAGTATACTCAGCTAAAGAATTAGCGTCTGTCTGACTTCCAACTTCTTATTTTTCCCATAACATAGTTGTTGTTGTAAAGTGCCGTCGAGTCGGTTCCGATCCGTAGCGACCCTGTATAGGGTTTCTGAGGAGCAGCTGCTAAGCTTGAACCACCGACCTTGCAGTTCAAACGGCTTTACATTAACCCACAGCGCCACACCAGGACTCCCTTTCAATATGAAGCAGTGGAAAGGAAACGAGAAGTCAAAAGATCTTGGTTTGAAATCAGTCTATATTGCTGAAATATTTTGAGACTTTGGAATCTTTCTAAGCCTGTTTACTTCTCTGAAAAATACAGGTAATGATACCTGCTCTATCTACTCATTATTATTAATATTTTTCAGAGAATAATACCTAACTGCCCTGTTGTTGTTGTTATGTGCCGTGGAGTTGGTTCCGACTCATAGCGACTCTGTACAGGGTTTCCGAGGCTATAAATCTTTACGGGAGCAGATCGCCTCATCTTTCTCCAGCCCATAAAAAGCCCTGGTGGCATTGTGGGAAAGGGGGAGGAGCCTTGAAACCTAAAACACTACCTTTATCATTTCAATGGGAACCATTGCCATTGAGTAGATTCCAACTCATATAGACCCTACATCGGCTTTTCCAAAACTAAGTCTGTTAACCGAAAGGTCAGTAGTTCAAACCCACCAGTCCCTCCGTGGGAGAAAGATGAGGCTATCTGTTCTTATAAAGAATTAGTCTTGGAAAACCCGATGTAGGGTCTCTAAGAGTTGGAATTGACTCAATGGCAGTGGGTTTGGATTTTATATACTCACAGTTTCATGCAGTGAGATTTATTCAATGGTTCCCAATGAAATGATAAAGGTAGTGTTTTCAAGGCCCCGCCCCCTTTCTCATCCGTGGTCAGTCATTTCCTTCAAATTTTTCTGCTCTGCTCTCCACACTTCCCTTCTTTGCCACAGGGCAATTTTCTGCTGCACAGCCTCACAGGTTAATGAGTGGGCTGGACTCCCCTGCCACTGGGAGCCTCTAGGGCCTCAGTAGACACCAAGGAAGCCCTAGAAACCCTCCTCCTTCCACCCTCTATTGTGCTGTGGGACTGAGGGACCCCAGGCCCAGGACTGGCAGCAAGAGGTGCTGTCTGCTGTTCTCCATAGCTTTGTCACATTTCTTGCCCCGTACAGTGATCCTGTCAGCAGAAGCCCTGGCATTACGACGAGCAAAGCAGGCCCAGCAGCGGGCAGAGCGTGCATCTCTGCAGCTGAGTAAGGAACAGACGGAGTTGGTCCAGACACTCCTGGTTGCTCACACTCGCCATGTGGGCACCATGTTTGACCAGTTTGTGCAGTTCAGAGTAAGCACTTAAACAGGATCTGGGCTGGAGTGTGACATCAAAAGAGGGTCTAAGCAGGGATGGGCAACTTTGACATTGGCTATCCAAAATGGGGGGCTACAAAGGCAAGAAGTGACTGGTTTACAAGCTCTCAAGAGGGAGCCTAGATCCAGAGGGTGTGGGGGAGGGTAGAATCTCCACTGAGTAGTATCCAATCTGTCTGGGTGGGGCTGGTGAAAGGAGATGGGGATAGCACTCATGTGGCACCATAGTGAATAATTACTCTCAGGACTGACTGTGAGGGTTGGAAATATAAAGGTAGACGTTTTATAGCAAAAGGAGAGGAGTGACTGACTTTGCAGTCCAGGAACAGAAGTCCCTGGAACCATCAAGGGAGAAGAGCGGAGTGTGGGGCCCTACCCAGAGAAACAGTGACACCAGGGATAGAGGCAGAGATGATGACATGGAGAGATGGAGCAGCTGGGGACTCTAGACCTGGAGAGGGAGAGGAGCTGTATGCTGATGACCATGGGACAGGTTTGCAGGGTATAACCTTTGGTTGTTTGATGATGCATGGAGGGGATTGTAACCATGGTAATAAAACGAGAATGTAAAGCTAATGTTCTCCCATGTAAACTATTACATAATTCACAATGAAACATGTTTTTAAAAAAAGAGGGTCTAAGGAAACTGGCCTGAGGGAGGGGGACTTTTTAACTAACTGGTGCCAAGCACCAACCTCAAGTACAGAATTTCTCCAGAAACCTAGCCTTGGCAGGCTCCTCAGGCCAGAACCCTTCCGAGATAAAGCTGGAGAGGTGGCCCTAGGCCTGGAGCCTTATGCTGTGATCTCTTCAGCCTCCAGCTCATTTGTTCATCCATCACCAGCCCTTGCCCACCCTGGTCCCTGTGCTGCCTCTGCTCAAGCACTTTGCAGACATCAGTACTTTCATGGTACAGCAAGTCATCAAGTTCACTAAGGATCTGCCCCTCTTCCGGTGAGTGACCTCCCATCACCTTTCAGGAAACAAATACTCCAGAAAATTTGTTGTCAGTGCTGTTGAGTCTGTTCCAACTCATAGCATCCCTGTAGGTTTCTGAAAAGCAGCTGGTGGGTTTGAAGGTTTGAACTGCCTACCTTGCAGTTGCAGTTCAGTGCATATCTTACAATGCCACACCAGAACTCCTCCATCACCTCGACTCCCCAAAAGTTATTGACCAAATTAACCCAACCCTCCACCTTTCCAAGCATCAGGTCTCCAGTTTCCAATTTTGTGTGTAAATGCCTAGGTCAAGAATAGGAATTCTTCTCCTGAGGTTCATGCTAGAATCTAAAGTGCCCTTGTTTCCTGTTCTCCACAGGTCCCTGCCCATGGAGGACCAGATCTCCCTTCTCAAGGGAGCAGCTTTGGAGATCTGTCACATTGCACTGAACACCACTTTCTGTCTCCAAACACAAAACTTCCTCTGTGGACCTCTTCGCTACACAATGGAAGATGGAGTCCATGGTGAGACAGTGGTGGAGCAGCAAGAGGGCACATGTTGTGATATGAGGTGGTCAGCTGACCTGGAGGATACTAAGCCTACCATCTCCTATAGTGGGCTTCCAGATGGAGTTTTTGGACTTGCTCTTTCGCTTCCATGGGACACTGCGGCGACTAGAGCTCCAGGAGCCCGAGTATGTGCTCATGGCTGCCTTGGCCCTCTTCTCTCCGGGTAAGCATCCCCCAAAGCACCAAAGCTCTTGCTCCAGCACCTCTACCCAAACTCCCAGCTCCTTGAATTCATCCATCCCTGGCTTTCTAACCTTTAAACCTACAGAATGAGTCTGTCTTAGCTTTAACCATCTGGGGCACTCACTGTCCAGGCCCCCTCCAACCTCCCCCCACATTGTCCATCCTGGCTCCCTACCCTACATACCGACTTGGGGTCACCCAGAGAGAAGAGATCGACCAGATGCAAGAGGTGATGGCACTGACTCTACAAAGCTACATCAAGGGCCAGCAGCCAAGGCCCCGGGATCGGTACGATGGGAGACTGGGACTTGGAACTTGCACTGGGGTGAAGAGCTAGGGGGTCATTGAGTTCAGAATGGATCCTTTTTGGTCCTTTCCTTTGAGAAACCAAGTCCCCTGGGGGGTCTAGTCCTTCCCTCTGGCCATCCCCATTTCACATAGTTCCGACATCCAAATTGTTCCTGATGCTGTTTCACCTCACTTTTTCCAGATTTTTTTTTTTTTTTATTCAGTAGAGATGCAAAGTAGTAGCTCACAGGCCCTGTATAACAGCATTCCTGAGATTGATGACACCCACCAATTTTCCAGACTAAAGCAGCCCTTCAAGAGTCTGGTTTGCTCACTTTCCTGAGCCCTTCACCTCTTCACTGGAGATAATTCCTTTCTTTTTTCCTTCCCCTTGATATAGTCATTCACAGTTACAGTGACGGCTCAACAATCTATGATCTAGGCCCTGAGGTACAATCCACTTCTGTTCTTGCTCATTCCTCAATGAGCCAATTTGGCCAGAAGAGGGACTCTTTATACAATAGAACACACCCACCTTCTAGAGCTTGCTCTAGAAGGCTAGACCCTCAGATTCCACAGAGTTGAAGTTCTGGGGCTGGGGCTGAAGTCTGGGGTCTTCTTCACACTTGGTTCTCAGAACTCTAGACTCAGAGGGAAATGGGCATGGTAAGAGAAGACATTGTCAGACAGTGGTCCTCCTTGGGGACCTTTGGAACCTTTGATTCATTTGTCATACCAGAGCATGATTTCCCCTAGAGGTCTCAATAGCTTCAATGAGAGGCAGTTCCAAGGACCAGAGTCTCAGGACAAGAGTACCAACTGACTTATTTCTCTACTCTTTCCCTGCAATCCCACGGCTTCCTCCAAAGGTTTCTTTATGCAAAGCTACTGGGCCTGTTGGCTGAACTCCGGAGTATTAACAACGCATATGGACACCAAATTCAGCACATCCAGGGGCTGTCTGCCATGATGCCATTGCTCCAAGAGATTTACAGCTGAGATCTGGCTCACCTTGTTTCCTAGCCCACCTTGGACACACTGAATTGGAAAGGGGAAAATACTGGTACCAGAAGTGGGGACTAACAGTGGCTGCAATGAAAGATTAAAGCAATGACTGCCTCTTCATGCTGTCATGGGGGAACTGGGGCGTGACCAAGGGGACAAAGCACAGAAGATGGGAAGGAAATATCCTCAGGGCTTTGAAGTAAATCTCCTTTTGGGAGTGGAAGGACCCTACTTTCTAAGACCAAAGATTTAGCCCTTCAACACTTCAAGTCTTGGAAAGTTCTAGGCTAGAAAATAGGGGGGGAAGCTAATCCCATGTAATGTTCTACTCCGAAGAGGAAGAGGTTAGGAGCTTTAATCCAAAGGGAAAGGAAATGAAAGGGAAAAGTCAGCCAGACATACCCTTAATCTTTCCCTGTTAGTCCAAAGCCCTAAGAGCATGAGGAAGATGGTGTGGGGCTGATGGTAGAGGTGAGAGCCTCAAACCACTTCCTCACCAGCTACCCCTGTAGCAGCTCCAGTTCTGAGGAGGGAATGGTCCTGTCCCCACTCTGCTCCTGGGGTCTAGAGGTCACCCAGTAAGGAGGGTTCTGGAGAGGGGCCTAGTCTCTGACCCTAGGGCACCTGACTCAGAGTTTCCAGCTGCTATGGAGGATCGGGGACAACCTCAGCCCACAGTGATGCTGAAGCCACAATGAAATCTGTTGCGCCAGTGATTGAGGAATGCTCCAAGGGCTAGGGTGACAGGCAAGGGGGGCATCTTCTTCTCCAGGACAGCACCCACACACCAGTTACTATCCACCAAGCCTGTTGGGGAAGAAAGCACCAAATAGGTTACTTACCAAGACTCAGAGAAAGGTGTTAGCAGAAAGAAGGTAGGGCTCCCTAGCCCTCGATATCCCACAAATCCCTCCACACGTTTGAACCATTATTGCAATAACCCTCACCTCTAAACACCATGTTGGCCTGGGGCAGAGTAAGGTGGTAACCAAAGGAAAAGGTCGTATCCTGTAGCCTTGTGTTTGCCTCAAATTCCACTCCAACCTGAACCTGAGAACCATGAGCAGGGATGGTAGAGGGATTAGCATCAGTGAAGAGAAAAGGGGCCCTAACAGAGGATCAGTAGCACTAGAATGAAGACACTCATAGAAATGTAAGTGAAGTGTAGGTAGAACAGTAATAGGTCATAAGCCCTGTGATTTCCGTAGTGTAGTAGTTATCGCGTTCACCTCACAACGAAAAGGTCCCCAGTTCAAGACTAAGTGGGAATAAGTTTGTTTTGGAGTCCTGGTGTGGTGCTGTAGGATAAGCTGGACTGCTAACTGCAGGGTCAGTGGTTCAAACCCACCTTGGAAACCCTATACAAGGTTGCTGTGATTTGGAACCGACTCAATAGCACTCAACAACAACAAAGATCCGTGGAGGGCCAGAGGAGCAAAAGGTCAGAGCTGACTTTCTAGGGTGGGGTATGGGATCAGTGTAGTCTTACCTGTTCATTTGCTCTATGGTAATAACTTGCATGGGCCCCACCTGACCCCACATTCAATGTAGCTTCCCAGTGTAGAGCTGCAAAAACCAAAAGAAAGGGGGAAAGGAATGTTATTGTAGTAGGACACAGTCAGAAACCCCAGAAAAATCCAGAATTGCCCCTCCCTGTACTACTCCACCTCACCCCATACCCGAGTACTTCCCGGCCAGTGTTAGGATGGCCCCCTCTTCGCCTGGCCGCCGGTGGTAAACTAGTTCTCCCCCCAGTACCAGCCGATGGGTGAGGCTCTGCAGGAAGTGAGCAACCATGATCACTGTGGAGGAGCGCAGAGACAGGGTCAGGGGGCAGTGATAGAGACAATCTCCAAACCTGTCCCTTACCCCTCCTAACTGTCCCAAGAAGGTCCTTTCCTCCTTCCTGGACTGTACAAATGAACAAGCTGACATTAGCAAATGGGCAGTTGAGGTAAAATGAGCCCTGTCCCAATGCCTCACCAGATTCTCCAATCAGGTCAGGATTCCCTAGGGTCAGAGTGGCTGTGTAGTCGTCCCCTCGATACTCGCCATCAAACTGCCAAGTTAAGAACTTGGCCTGCTGCGTCTATGGGGAAAGCAAGAAGTAAAATCTCCCTCCCTCAGTAAGATCACTATCGCTTCTGTCCCACCCACTGATGTCCCCAGAGCAGGTCACTCATTGGGAAGAAAGAGGAAATGCCTCAGTGGACGGAGACAGGAGGCAGGGTTACCTGGAAGACAGCCTTAGCTCTGAGTCGCTCTGCCAAGAGGAGCAAGACCTGGGCGTTGAGGCTGCCACTGCTATCCATATCCCCTACCACAGTGGGGAACACCTGTTGAGAGGGTAGTGAGGCTGAGCACAGCTGTACATCCAAACCTAAGCCCAAACGCAAGATTTCCTTACGGTTCCTGGCGCCCCCTGGTGGACACACAAAGATAAAACTCCGGGTTCTTCACAAAAGTTTACCATTTTATGAATCGGGCTGCGAACCGCAAGGTCAGCAGTTCGAAACTACCAGCTGTTCCGCGCGAGAAAGATGAGGCTTTCTGCTCCCGTAAAGATTTTCAGCCTCGGAAACCCTGTACAGGGTCGCTGTGAGTCGAAACCGACTCCACGGCACATAACAACAACCGTTCAGAAGACACAGAATAGGGTGCCTTGCCCATTCTCCCCCACGACACACACATTTCTTCCTCCACCAGACCTGACTTCCCGCTGGGGTTTTAGGGAGATGATTTAAGTGTGTGATGTCCTCACCTCACTGGGACTAAGCTGACTGTCTCCTGCATAGACAGCATGGAGGTGGTAGCCCGGCAAACCCAGGGCACTCATATGCACAGTGTGAGCCACCTGAGAAAAGAGAAGTCATTGTAAGAGAGAGCATCCCTGCACCATTTCAATCCTGCATCGCATCTTCTCATCTCCTCCCCACCCAGAGGACCTCTTAAGAATCCTAAATATCCCAACATACACCAAGGATCAACAGAGTAAAAGCAACAAGTTCCACAATCAAGGGAGGTAAAGGATCTCCACATCCTCCCTCATTTGACACATACAGATAGGCTGAGTCTGGAATACAAAGGAAAGGAGAAGGTGGCTGGGGACAGGCAAGGAGGGGTCAGAGAAGTGGGGGCACCTGGAAATGGCTGCTCAGAACCTTGTTGACCACGAGCTTCACACCCTCCATCTGTGTTGGAAATACATCTGAAGGGGGCATGAAGGGAAGAAAAGGAGTAAGTACAGACATATACACAGACAAGGAATCCCAATCCCATGAAGTGGTCTCCCCTTTGAATCCCACAGGAAGTACTTCAGATGAATTGACCTTCATTCAAGTCCGACAAAGAAATGCTCCATATTATTCTGGCACCTGATCTTCCCTGACACAGGATACCCAGCTGTTGTCGCCCCTTCCTGTTTCCATTTCTGGACGCCCAGAATTCAAGACCCTCCCTTCATTTGCTCCTTTCAACTTGAGACACCTTAGCATCAAGTTCCCACCTTTGCATAGCCGGTGCAGCTCATCGAAGCTTCCGGGGTTGGGCAGAGGTTCCTCTCGGCGGGGGCTTCGGCGGGGCAAAGCCCCCATGGGGGCCAGGCCCAATGTGTTCCCCATCTCAGCCCAGAGGAGGGGGAGGGGAAGGGGCAGGGGATAGCCTTAGAAAGGACGCTGTAGCTTCCTCTACCCCCCACGGGCCCCACCCCCCATCATCAGGCTCCCCAGTCCCAGAAACTTCCACATGGTCCGTTGCTAAACCTGAAATGGTAGGAAGAGAGGGCACCGATAGAAAGATCGAACCCCATGCACATTCCCGTCCCATCTTTGATCCCTCACCCCCACCTGTCACAATGTTTCCTATTCCACTTTCTAATCCTAGCGCATATCACAGACTTCACCCACCTTCCCAGTGTTTCTACTCTTCACTACCAGGCCCCCAGGCCAGACTTGTAATGGAACAGTAGCCCTTACCGTCTCAGACCATCTTGCTGCCCCTTCCCCTCCGGCACACCCCGGTCATCTTGATGGGGGCGGCCATCTTGAGTGATGGCAGAATCGAGGCTTCACACTGCATTCTTAGAGCAGTCACGAACGCCATCTTGGAAGCGGGCGAAAAAAAGATATCAAAAAGCCAGCCTACCGCCCCTCCCCTACTGGGCCCCGCCCAGTCGATGGGGAAAAAGGCCGCCTTGTTCTTCCAGGATCCAATGAAAGAGGAGAAAGCAAGGGAGTGACAGATCTCACAGGCCGAGAGCTCCAACTCCGGCGCTGCCGCAGGAGGCGAAGTGGGACTTGACTGGTGGATCTTTATACCGAACTCTAGTAGAGGCCTTAAATTGCCGGGCCTCTCCAACGTTGGGCAAAACTTGTGAATGTACTAGACGCTTGTTGTTGTCAGGTACCATCGAGTCTGAACCGACTCATAGCGACCCCATGCACAGCAGAACGAAACAATGTCTGATCCTGGGCCAACCTCACTACCGCTGCCACACATGAGTCCATCAATGATGCCACCTGGCCAATCCATCTCGTTAGGGGTCTTCCTCTTTTTCTCTGACCCTCCACCCTACCCAGCATGACATCCTTCTCCAGCGACTGTTTTCTCTGGACAATATGTCCAAAGTATGAGAGATGAAGCTTAGCCATCCTGGCCTCCAAGGAGCACTCTGGCTGCACTTCTTCCAAAACAGATCTATTGGTTCTTTTGGCAGTCCATGGCACTTTCAGTATTCTCCTCCAACACCACAACTCAAAGGCATCAATTCTTCTACGATCTTCCTTATTCACTGTCCAGTACTAGACGCTAGGGGGAGCATTTTGTAGCTTGGGTCACTGAAGCTCCCTCTTGAACCTTGAGAAAGCCAAAACAGTGAAGCCTGGACGCTCCTGTCTTGTGAAGGGTGGTGGTAAGAACAATTGTGAAGCCTTCTTTTGAACCTTGGGTCTTACTTCCCTCTCTTCCCCATAGAGAATTCCTGGAGAGCCCTCTTGACAGCCCTCTACAGTACACCTCCAAATGAGTATCATTCACAACAGTTCTCCGGAAGATGTGGACACATGTATCTCTCCTCGAGGTGTTAGTTAAATGCCGCCGCCTAGTCAGTTCTGACTCCGCAGCTGGTGAATTTGAATCTCCAGCCTCGCGGTTAGCAGTTCAGTGCTCATCCTACAGGACCGTCTTGCCCCTTTTGATGGAATGGGATGGGTGTGAGTGGAGCCGGGGGCTCCTGTAGTTAGCCCTTCTTTCCCTGAAGAACTCTCAGGCAGAGTTAACAAAATCCAGGAATGTAGACTCAGATCCTCAAATGTGCTGTACCTCAGGACCATGAATAAATCAGTGGAGTGACTCTCACCCAGTAAGCACGCCACAGGAGCATAATTGAGAATGGAGGAAGATTTCTTGAATTTGGTCACTACCTTCCTCATTAGCCGGCACACCTCCATTCCTCTCTCTCAGGAAGTAGGCTTTGGGGACTTAAGGGTGAAAGATTCCAATACTTTTGATATCTACTTAGTTGGTTTTGCCTACATGTTTTTGGCTTGGGAAATGTACCTCTGCCTTTCCTCACAATCAGACCTAGGCCTTGACCAGAGAGATGCTAATGCTTCTGCTGACTCAGTATTGACTGACTACTACCTAGAACTGATAAGGCGATCAAATGACCGGGGACCTTCAACCTTTAGCCTGGCAAAAACCTATCATTCACCCTGTTTTTTGTTTGTTTTTTTTTTTTTGCCCCTGCCAGAGACATCCTTTGGGAGGAGGAAACAGGAACTGCTTTCTGAATTTGTTGTACTGGGGGTAGGGTATGCTCATTGATCAGCACCCAGGAGGGTCATTCTGGGCTCTCATGTTTTCTGCCTCCTACCTGATTACACATTAACTCAGAAAGGGAACAGAGTTGATCACAGTTACCCTCTGACCCGAACTCCATTCCCTAAACCCTATTATCCTCACCCCTGCCAGATTTCAAACCCACCCCTTGCCGGGGTCTGGCCTCGACAAAGGGGTGAGTACACGAAGGTGGGGTGTCTGGCGATGATAGAGAGAGAGAGAGAAAAAAAAAAAAAAAAAAACAGACGCAAAGAAGACAGAGACACAGGTTTGATGCAAGCCGCCAGACAAACTGCTCAGTGGCAGACATGCACACAGAACTAACTCTAGGTGGCATGTCTGGAGAGGCGAGAGAGAAAAGAAACACTCGGAGACCAGAGTGGATACAAGCTGACAGGCAGATAGACCTGCTGCCAAGAATGCACGCAGAACTATCTCTACCCCAGTCTTTTATTTTCTCTCTTTAGGGAAGAGATCTTTACAGAAGAAGAATGGTATATTATTCAAAGAAGATAATGCTTAATGATTCACAGAGACAATCTTTAAGATAAATTAAGCCAGTAATCCTTTCTTCCTTACTGGGTTTAACCTTTCTAATGAAGGCGAGGTTTCACCTTCACATTCCTTATCCTCTATCTGGATTCCACACTCAAATGCTACAATGTTCACTATCATCAGGGGGAAGAAGAGCATCTGGATCAAACTGATTAAACCCAGGGCAGTCTGAAGGAGTTGCCACCATTTTCCTTTTCCCAGAATCTAAACTGATTAAACCCAGGGTGGTCTGAGGGAGTTGCCACCATTGTCCTTTAATCCAATATTCCCAGAATTTACCACTCCACCTCAAGTGAATACCCCAGGCAGTTCCTCTCCAGAACCTCCCTGCTTAATCCCAGTAAACCTGTCCTTGTTTCGTCCTCTGAGGAAGTTTTACTGCCTCGGTTCTAGGGCGAAATTCGGTTTTATTAATGTACATGGATAATCAAGAACTCATGTTCTAAGTTAATATTAAACATAACTGAATAATCAAATAAGGAGCAGTTCTGACACTCATCCCAGGTGGCTATCGCTTGTACCTCAGAAAGATTCATTCCCAGGACCCTATGCACTGCCAACACAGTGGAGACATTAAGAGAGGCATTATAAAAACCATTTTCTCAGAAGCTACAATTACTGGAGTTAGAAGAATAGAGTAAACAATATTAGGACTTGTACAGAGGTAGCCCAACAGTGAGTTCACAGATACCAATGAACCCGGGACCCCAGGAGGTCACTTCCTGGGCCTGCAGGGTTCATGGCTCGCCATACCGAGGAGGGCCTAGGGTTTGGATTTTTGTCCAAGTCACAAGGCCTCAGCTTCCCAATAATAGCATTTTATGTCATCCCCGACAGCACACACACACACACCTTTTTTTCCTTCTCTTTCTCCAGTCTCACTCTGTCAAATAGCAATGGAAAATCTTAAGGTGGGAGAGATGAAATCTACCCAGGATGGAATAAAGATACCAAGAGCTGAGGGCTTGATATGTCAGGACTTTCTAGAAAAAAGCTAGTAATGCTTCCTGATGCATTCAAAGTTAAGATCTACTTGCCCAGAGCCCCTAAAACAAATCCCAACCCAGCCTAAAGTTTACTTTCTTGGCATCCACTAAGACCTATCCTCCCACCCCCAACAACTACCTCTCACCTCATCACCATGAGTCTCCACGTGTTTGTCGTTTCCTCCCCCGCTTCTCCAACTTGTTTATTCTAACACAGGCCCTGACCCACTAGACCTTCCATAATACCTGTCACCTGACAGGGGGTGGGGAAGCAGACAGGTATATATTCACTGCCTCCCAGCCAGATTCGGCAAAGACGGCAAGGACAGAGACGCTGACTAGGTAGGGTAAGGAAGCAGAAGGTATGGGCTGTATCCAAAGATGGCTGGGTTTTGTGGATGGGGAGGAAACCAGCTTGGAGTGGGGACCCAGGTAGGGAGATCCTTGGGGAGATGCTGAAGACCACCAGGTTTCAGTGCCTTCCCTCCTGTTCCCAGGCCATCTTCTCACTATTACCACCATGAAGCTGCTTGCAATATCTGTGCTGCTCATCACCATCTGTAGCCTTGAAGGTGGGTATCATATGGAGAGGAGGGTCTAGGGAGGAGACAATGCTGATGGTTCTAGCTACCCATCTGTCTGCGGTCCTATGACTAGGTCTTGTAATTGCAGACTCAAAGGGAAGATTAAGCCTCCTCTAAAACCCAGAATCAGTCACTCCTCAGAAACTCTTTACAGGGTCTCTGTGAGTCGGAACCAATTCGATGGGACTTAACAGCAACAAAACCCAGAAAGCCCATTGAAAGACCTGGAACTGGATACCTGTTTGGGGAATTGGCTGAGAGTTAGGACTGGGTATTGGCAGAGGGTGTGGCAGGAGGTCAAGACTTGATTGTCATGGACCTGGTGGAGGTGGTGTTTCTATGCCCTGGAGTTGGTTCTGACTCATATCAACCCTGCACAGGGTTTCTGAGGCTGTAAATCTTTACGGAATGAGAAAGCCTCATCTTTCTCCCGCTATGGGCCTAACTGAGAAGAACGTGTGTATGTTTTATACAGGAGCCTTGGTTCGGAGAGAAGCGGAAGAGTCAACTCTACAGAGTATGTTCTCTCAGTACCTCCAGACCGTGAGTGATTATAGCAAGGACATGATGGAGAAGGCCAAAGCTCCAGAGCTTCAGGCCCAGGCCAAGTGAGTCCCAGGGACTGTGGAGAGAATGAAGGGAAGACGGGAGGTCTTTGGGAGGACTAAACTCAGTCGTGTGTGCAGGTTAGAGATTAGGCATAAATTGTTGTTGATGTTGTTAAGTGCTGACTCATAGCAGCCCTGTATAGGGTTTTTGAGGAGTGGCTAGTGAGCTTGAACCACTGATCTTGTGGTTCAAAAGAAAAATCTTTTCATGACCCACTCAACCCACTCCTCTTAGATCCCACTAACCTGCTGGACAGACAGATAGGAGCAGCAGGAAAGGTGCTTTGCATTTCTGTCTCTAGCACATATTCCTGTGATTTATTGTTTTCTTTTCCTTTGGGGAGCTTTGTCATGCCAGGGTGAACCAGGCACTAGAATATGGGGATCTCATTCCATCTGCTCTGATTTCCCACTAACAAGGCCCCTCCCAGTGCCTAGGGTCCCTCACACTGACCTCTAGTCTCTCACATATCCAGGGCTTACTTTGAGAAGACAAAGGAGCAGCTGGCACCCCTGGTCAAGAAGGCTGGAGAAGATCTGCTTACCTTCTTCAGCAGCTTTGTAGATCGCAAAACAGAGCCTGTCTCCAAGTGAGGCATCCAAACCTTTGTCTTTCATCCTCATCTGGCCACAAAACGCTTGCTGGCCAGGCCTAGAGCTCCTCTCTCAACTCACCATGGTTTTCTACAATAAATACTGACCTGTCAAGCTGTGAGCCTGGTGTGTTTTAGGGATGAAAAGAGGTAAGAGAAGTAAGGGAGGAATAGAAGAAATCTTACTCTAAAATAAGTGGAGCTTTGGTATGAAATAATGGAGAGAGAGTTGAAGAGACAGAAAAGAGAAGAGATAGGAATGGCAGAGCAGGGATGCCTTCATTCTTTTCCAAACCCAAGAAATCTACCTCTAGGCCTGGGAATGGATTTGGTCACGGAGCACTAAAGAGTTCTGCATTGAACTTGGAAACATGAAAGGAATAAAGTATTCATAAATCAAATCTCTAGATTCCTAGGATCACATGAACTGAGGGAATCCCTCAGAATTTTCTCGTCATCATTTTATAAAGAAGAGAAAGCTTCCGAGAAAATAACCCACAGGTATCACCCAAGATCCTTCTTTCCCTTCTGAGCCAAAGGAACATTAAACTAACCAGAGATCTCAGTCTGAATTCCCAGCTCCCACAGTGAAAGAATATGCCTGGGTTTACTCCTCTCCCCAAAGGTACTCTCATTCCTCCATTCAAAATCTCTCAACTAGACCCCCTCCCTGTCTGATGAAGACGGATTCCAAACCCCTATCCCATTATTATCAAGGTGTTCTTCATAGAACTGGCCTGGAACTAGCAGCCATCCATGGTCATTTAAAGTCCTGACAGCTACACAACTTGGTAGATACATAGGCCTAGAGAAACTCTGGGAGCTCAGTTACATCAAAAATAGAATGGAAACCAGGCTGGAATGATGCAGGGAGGGTCAGTCTCAAGATGTAGAGCATTTTCCAATGAAATCTGTTCCCATTTTACCTTTCAAACAATTGCTTCCCTACTTTGGTTTATTTCTTACATCTCAATTGAAGTCACCTTTCCCCCAGACACTGGAGATGGCTCGAATTTCTTCACTATACTGATCAATCTTCTCATTGTGATCTTCAAGATGCTTAACACTCTTAATTACCTCCATCCTCGTCTCTTTCCTCTAGTCTTCCCCCCCCCCGCCCCCACATATAGCAAAATGTGTGGAGACAGAGATCTCAGTCTGAATTCCAGCTCCATTACTTGCAAGGTGACCTTGGGCAGGTTGTTGTTAAGTGCCTTTGAGTTGGTTCTGACTCATAGCCACCCTTTATAGGGTTTTCGAGGAGCAACTGGTGAGCTTGAATTGCCAACCTTGTGGTTCAAACCAACTTTGCAGTCTAGTGTATTAACCCACAGCGTCACACCAGGACTCGTTGGACAGGTTAATTAACTTCAAAGCGACTGAATTTCTTCACAAAGTTAGTGGGATGATCAAATAATACAATGAGCTAGAAACACTTTGAAATTTTGAGTAACTATACAATACTCAAAGTCCAGCATTGGGGACTTGCAGGGGTAAGTTTGGAGACTCTGGGTCCATTCTGACAGGGCTGCTAGGTCAGAGCAAGGATTGGAAGCATCTGATGGGGTTCTGATGCGTCCAGGACACCCTGCCTTTAGCAAGGCTGAAAACAGGACAAGCACTGACCAGAGGGATTCCTTGACCATCTGCTCATGCACTTAGAGGCACTGACCTTCCATCTGAATCAGACTTGGTCACCTTTGCCTCACCCATCTCCATTCCTTATCTGGCCCTCTAAGGTTCCTCTTGCCCCAGAGCCTGCTCCAAAAACATCATTCCCATAAAACTTCTCATTAGGCACTTCGCACAACCCTGTCCCTACCATCTCTCCTGCATGTCTGGTTTTTCAGTTATGCCAGGTCCCATATGCATGTACATTGTGAGTTGTTCTCACACTGCTCCCTGAAGCCCACTCTAGTATGGATTGGTGACTACTTGGGGAACATAGGCAGACTCCCCCACAACCCAAACTTAGTTTAACTGCCAGTTGGGTGTAGAAATCATTTCTTAGGTTCTAATGTCTTCAAAAACAAAAACAAAAAACCCCCTGGGTAGTTCAAACAATTAGCACCCTCGGCTGCTCACCAAAAGTTTGGAGATCCAAGTTCAGAGGCTCTTTGAAAGAAAGATTTATCAGTTTACTTCCAGAAATCAGCCAGTGTAAACCCTAGGGAGCACAGCTCTACTCTAACCCACAAGTCAGAATCAACTGGTTTTCAATCTCTCCAAATATGCCTAGAGTCTCAACACGTAATTCACTATGCCAGTTCCATCCCAGTACATCCGCAGGTAGAGAGTCTTGTCCCTGCCCTAGCCACAGTCAACATTCATTCCTTATTTAAACAAAATAATCCAGAAGTCCATTAACCTGTGAGCTCTGTGAGATTAGGAACGGAATCTGCCTCAAAATTGTATCATTAGGTTGAAACAACTAATTTTTTGTGATATATATTTTACCTAATTAAAAAAAAACATTTTAAAACAGTGTAATAGTAAAAAACAAACCAACTAGTGTCCAGTCTAGTGTTTGGCAGAGGCTAAATGTATATATGGTGACGAATAAATGAACAGAACCCAGTCTGTGATGACTTTATTAGAGGAACTCTCATGGCATTGTTTAGTAGAAGAGAACAAGACTAGAATGTTAATGAATAGTATTTGAGCATAAGTCTTATGACAGGGAGGAGGGTCCACAGTGAGTATGAATGAGGGGCAAGGCCCACTACAGGAGTGGGGTCAGGTGGCATTAACTGCCGAGGAGGGGAACATATGTGGATGCCAACCATGAGGGCTAGGAGGAGGAGGAGGAACATAAGGATGTGATGGAGGGCATCCATTCTAAAGCTACTGTGGTGGTTTCTCATGCTTCAGGGTCTCGTATGTCTCCTGGTTCCGGGTGCTCAGGCCCTGGAGGTAGGGGTCAGAGGATGGTCAGGAGTTTGAACCCATCCCAAGTTCCCTACCCACCCCCATAGACTACAGATCTTTCAAAGGTCACTCGAAGGTCCACCCTTTTCTGCTAACTTCCTGGAACTGGGGGTGGTGGCAGTGGGAGTTAAGTTCACTCACCGTGTAAATGCCATCTGACTTCTGTGGAAGCAAAAGGGGTAAGGCATTAGAGACCCACACCTCCTTCAGGACCCTCCAGCGCCTTCTTCCCCACCCAAAGAGGTATCTGGCCAGAAGTAACTAGCCCCTTGAGCAAGTGGGCTCACACCTGGATGCCCTGAGACATGAATAAATACACATTTGCCTACATGAATACAAACATGCAACCACACAACATACAAATTTCATTCATTGTCACCATATTCTTGATTTTTTCCCTACAGCTCCACTAGGATGCAGGGTAGCGTAGTGTGAGGTGGAAGCAGTGGGACCTCTTAAGCATAAATAGATCAGCACTTGACATACACCCTCCCAGAGGTTCAGAGAGCTCAGACCGCAAGGCTAGATTCCCACAAAGGCTGAGTCTGAAACACAAAGGGTGCCCATGGGTGGGAGAGTCCATACCTCATAGTTGGCTACTGCCTTTCGCATCTGGATCTAGAGTAGGGGAAAGGTGAACAGTAAAGAGAAAGCTAGCGACCCATCCACCTTCCCTCCAAACGCCATGGGGGACACCCTTTTTATTCCTGCTCCTCAAATCCATGCTGCCAACATCCTCCCCCTTCTAGCAGTCCTCAGGCCAGCCTGGCCCAGCCTTACCTTGAGTCGACAGTAGAGCAGGGTGAGGACAATGCCGTACAAAAATAGGATCGCATCCAGGATATAGCAGAGCTGAGGCTCTTGCAGGGCCGCTGAGGGGATAGAGGGTGCCCATGGGGTCAGGGGCATCAGGGAGGATCTGGTGCTCAGAGGAGAAAAGGGAAAGGGCTCTGGGAGGTAGGACTGGACCTAGAGGGGAGTCCTTCAAGGAAAGAAACTGCCTTCCCCTTCAGATTCCTGTTTCTCTGGCCTCCCCTCTGCCTTCTCCCCACACCAGGGCAGGAGAAATGTGAAGGATTCTATAGTGATGGAACTTATATATGTACTGAGAATTGAGGCTTCCCCATCAGCCCCCAACCCTCACTTTTTAGTACTGTGGTTTCCTCAGGCACCATTAGGCATGTCACCCCCCGCTCAAGGGACCTATCTGTGCTTACTGGGCTGAGACCCAAAACCTCAGCCAAGAGGGGTAGAGTACAAGGGAGGCAATGATAAATTTCAGCACAGAAACCACAGGAGTGTCTCTGCTAAGTCCTGTGACCTGCGGCTAAGGGCTGGACAGGAAGGATGTGCGCTAGGGGAGACAGCAATTACTCCATTACTGGCCATCTTGCTTTCTATCTTCCCATGAGACACTTAAACATGGAAAAACCAGGGGTCTGCTTTCCTAGATATCATAGGTATCAAAGGCTCAGGTCACACGGCTGGGGGAATACCTTAGCCCAGCTAAAGGAAATGCCCACAAGCCCTGTGGATTCCATCTCCTGGCACACTACCCTGTCACTCACTTACCCTGGGCCTCTGAGAGGGGAAGTTTTATGTAATTTTAAAAATCAAGTAGGGTCTAGACTTCAGAGATTGCTCCAGGTCTCTATGAGAAGAGCTCATAGGTGTGGTACCAGTAGAGCATTTTTTAGTAGCTAACACTCTTTCACATACAATATTGCATAATTCTCAAAACTACCAAGGGAGACAACATAGCCATTTTATGAATGACAAAACCATGGTTCAGAAAGGTTAACTCATTAAGGGTTAGGCAGTTATTCAACAGAGCTAGAACTGAAATCCAAGTTTACCGTCTCCAAAGCATATTTTTTCCTTTATTATGCTTCATTGTCAATGCTCCGTCCTCATCCCACTGTAGTAAGCTGGTTATCTAGTTTAAGCCTCTCTGCTTTTATAACTTGGCTAGTGGAGTTCCTCCCCTCCTTTTGATTGCCATTTCCCTGAAGTTTTCAAACCTCTCTCCTCCATCACACGACCCAGCTGCTGCCATTCCTCTTCAAAACACAAACACACAGATATGCATGTGCACACACAATTCCAGTACAGCCAAGATGTGAGGGTTCTTAAGCCTTAAAGCTGCCGGGCCTTTCCTACTTCCGCCACCATTTCTCAGCTGATGCCAATGTCTCTTGAGGTTATATTGTACTGTCACTCTCATATCAGCATAGTGACACAATGCATGTTACTGATGCCCCACAGAAGCAACAACAATGCCTGTTTATCTTGACCTCCTTTGCTTCACTCCCAAACACAAGGACAGTCCTTAGCTTCTTTAAGGGAGCTCTGTACAATTTAACCAGCTAGTGACTGGCTCCCAATGGGCAAGACCAAAGGTGTTCTACACAAAAATGCTAAATGTGGGATATGGCGCATTGCCCCAGACCAGATCTCCATGTCACACAACCACTCCTTCTCCCCAGCCAAATTAAAGCCTCCGGAGGGTATCAGTCTTTTAAGAGAGGAAAAGACAGAGTAGGACAGGATAGGAACAGGACAAAAGCTATGACAAAGACAGAAGAAAGGAGGGAGGTATGAGCATGAATATCTAGTGCCCTAGACGGGGGCTGGATAGAACCAGACTCTGGTTAAGTCCACCTCAGCCCTTGTGCTTGTCTGCCCACTGCCAGTCTTCCTCTGTCCTTGCCTCAGCCCTTGAAAACATGCCCTGGATGCCTACCATGGAGCCCAGCTCACTGCCCATTAAACCTTCTCACCTGCTTGTTGAATCAAAAGAAGTAGGAGCAAGACCACGGCTGGAATCATCTTGGGCAGGGGACTGGGGGCCAAGTGCGTATCAGACGCTCTGACAGCACTGCGCAGCTTGTACAGGCTCAGCGAACAGTTCCTTGACCACAGAGTTCCCCCCTTCCTGCCACGCCTTCCCCCACACTTTGGCCCCTTCCCCTTCCTGCACTAAGAGACTGGGCGGGCGGCTCCCGGAAGGGCCAACTAGGGGAGCTGGGAGATCTGGTTGCTTAAGCCTTAGTCCTTCATTGACTAAGGCCCTTAATCCATGGAACGAGGGGGATTCATGCTTAGGGAAGGCTATCTACATTTGCCATCTTTTACTCTACCCCTGTTCAGCGATACATCTGTGATAAACTACCCCTCTAGATTACTTAAAGCCCCACAATAGCCCTTTCCTTCCCCCCTAGAATTTTATCCCATCTTGATTTGAATCTGTATAGATAATGAAGGGGCTTGGACGGGGAAGTCTGAGAAGAAAAGAGGAAGAAAAGCGGAAATGGGGAATGGAGAAGTGGAAAACATACAAGTCAGAGAAGGGGGATGGGGCATTAGCAGGAAAAACTGGTAAGAACTAATTCTAATACAGAAAAGGAGGATGGATTAACAAACACCTTTAGGTTTCCCATCAAAGAGAAACATAGTAAGATTCTGAGAAAGACACACTAGAAGTTTGGGCATAGTGGCTGCAATGCAGCTAATTTATTACACTTTTTCCTTTTCTAGTACACACACAGAAAGTCTGACAGCTAAGTATACACGGATGTGTACACACATATACACACACCCATTTCCAAATGGTGACGAATATCACTGAGGAACTGATAGGAGGAGAAGATCAAATGTTGTTTCCCTGCTCACCGATCTACTTCTCCAAACACAATATCTTGGGTACCTGGGAGAGGTCAGGGGGTGGAAAAGAAATGGTGTCACCAAGCATTCAGAAATTTTACCTGTGCCAAGGAGATTGAGGACTTGATTCCATGCCCACAGTCTATGTCAAACAGGGAAGGCCCAGTTTCTGTCCCCAACACAAGTCCCCAAGTCCAACCCACTTGTCTGGGATGTCTCTACTACACAATGGTCTTGTACCTATAATGGCAACGACATCTGCCAACATGTGTCCCTTTGACATCTTGTCTAAACCAGCCTGGGGAGATTGAAATAGTAAGTGTTAGATCTGCAGTGTAGGGGAGCTCATAAAAATTTAAGGTCATAAAATTACTAGATTCATTTACTGGAGTTAGAATCATTGGGATTGGTTCTTACCAAGTGCGCAAAACCAGGAGCCTTGATCTTGCATCGATAAGGGCGGCTGCTGCCATCAGATACCAAGTAAACACCAAACTCGCCCTGTCCAAGGAAGATCGGCTGCCATTAACAGGAAGAACATTTTCCTCTGCTAACAAACCCTGTCTATTCACCCTCATGTCCTCTCACTGATGAGCTAGAATTTACTTGGACACCTATTTCTCATCTTCCACTCCTTTCCTCACCTTCGGGGCCTCGATGGCAGTGTATGTGGCCCCTGGAGGAACTTGGTAGCCCTCAGTATACAGCTTGAAATGATGAATCAGTGACTCCATAGAAGTCTGCAGAGGAGACAACAGAGTATCAACAAGTCAGACACAAACTCTAACTCCTAGTCCTTCCCCAGCACAGAAAATAATTTCGACCTTTAGGCAGACTAAACATCCACACACAGATCAGTGAGCAGAAACGACAGAAAATAAAAGAGAGCTCCATGAGGTTAAAAATCTTACATACTAATTCATTAAAAAAGGAAACCAGAACAGCAGGTCTAATCTAAAGATACTCTTCTCGTGCTGTTGCACCCTTTCTAAGCCCGCCTTTCCCTCTCCCTATAGCCAACCTTCATTTCTGCTCGTTTAGGAGGAGACACTTTGGCATCATCAACCTTGATCTCCCCAGGAGGCATCTTGTTTAAACACTGTAAGATGATTCGAAGGGACTGGCGCATCTCCTCCACCCGACATAGGTACCTGAAGTAGATAAGACAGACTTAGAACACGAGAAGGTCAGAGGATCAGATACGGAGCAGGGAAGGATGCCCTTTGGCCAACGTGAAAAAGAGTTAAGTGAACTTTTTTTTATTCTTTTCTTCTTAGTCCAGTATGTGGCTTGACCACCCACATAACTCCTGATGATTGTACTAAATCCTCTCCTTATTTTCTCAGACCATGTCCAGTTGGTTTGCTTAAGCAGGTGTTTTAAAATAGAAATACCCTCTTAAATAAACTAACAAACCAAAAAAAAAAATTTTTTTTAAGTGGGGGAGGAGAATGTAAGGGCAAAATAAAAGATATAACATATGAGGGGGCCTCAAAAAGTTTCATGGAAAAATTCCATTATCTTTTAATTCTATTATTCCAAGAACTTGTTGAAGTCCCCTCGTATGTGAAAGTACTTTGTAAAGCAATTTAGTTTAATATACACAAGTACTCTGACAGATTTCAGGAGGTTAAAGAAGACAGTCGGAGAAGAAAAAAGATAGGTAAGAGAAAGTAGCTTGCCAAGGAGCTGGAAAATCACTTGGGCCTTACCTATCATAGCAGTCCCCTCGGGAGCCAATGGGAACATCAAATTCCACCTGGTCATAAACATCATAGGGCTGTGTCTTCCGTAGGTCCCACTGGATACCTGAGCCCCGGAGCATCACCCCACTGTAGAGAGTATAGGGATAAGGATCACATTCCATAAACCAAGAAAAAAGACAAACTTTCCTCTTTAGTTCCCCCTTGTCCCTCCCTCACAGTCTGGGAATGGGATAAAAACTCAGAGCATGATAAGGAGGATGTCAAACATGCCTGAAGCTAAACTATTAGACTAGAACACCCTCACCTCTCCCCCAAACTATAGTCCCAACCCTAGAAAGGGGGGTCCGAATTAAGACACCCTGGAGAACAGGACTCAGGAGAGAAGTCTTGTTCCTCACACCTGAAACCATAGTTTAGCGCATCTTCTGCTGTTACAACCCCAATGTCAACTGTCCGGTTTCGCCAAATCCTATTGTTGGTCAGCATCTGTTGGTGAATAAAATTGGTATGCTATTACTCTTCATAACAGGATACTTCCATATTTTTTTTATAAACCCACTGGCAGTGAGTCCATTCCAACTCACAGTCACCCTATAGGACCTAGTAAAACTGTTTTCAAGGTTGTGTATCTTTATAGGAGTAGAAAGTCTCTTCTTTCTCCTGAGTGGCTGGTGGGTTTGAATTGCCACATTTTGGTTAGCAATCTAACACTTAATCCACGGTGCCACTTCCTATTTCTTTTACAAGTGGGAACTTTTAAAAAAAGGAGCTTTGACTCCTATCTTACCTCCTCCACCTCATCAATCCGAAGAGAGAAGTTCTTAGAAAACTCATAGATGTCATCCATAAGTCCAAGGGGTAAGTCCTAGAAGACACATGGAGGACAAGAGTGGGTACAGCAGAGATTTCAGTAAGGAGAGCCAGTGGAGTCTCCTTTCCCAGGGCTACAGCCTCTGAGATTCCACTGCCCTCCAGTGGCCACACAGAATACAAGACTGGGCTGAATCGGTGACAGGGGAGCCTGCTCACCTGGTGCACTCCTCCTGGGCGGACGTAAGCAGCATGCATTCGTGCTCCAGATACTCGTTCATAAAACTCAAACATCTTGATAGGACACACTGGGAATTAGTGACATAGTCCTAGGCCTACAAGCTCAACACAGTGGTCCACTCAACTATTTCTTATGCCCAACCAACCTCTCCTGACACAGAGCTCCTAAGAATATAACCCAGGTTATACTCTAAACCTTCTATCCACAAAAGGCCTCCCCATGTTTTCTCCCTCTTTTCATCTCTTGTCTCCTTCAGATCTTCTTTACTTCTTATACTTCACCCCCTATTCCTACTCCTTCCTCTCTCTCATACCTTCTCCCTTTCTTCAAACATCCAGAAGAAAGGGGTCATGGCTCCAATGTCCAGGGCATGTGTGGTTACAGCCATGATGTGATTCAAAAGCCGTGTGATTTCTCCGAATAGCACTGAGGAAAGGGGCAACACCAGAGAACATAAAGGTATAGGAGCTGACAGAGAAGTTCTGGGCAAAGCCTGGGCTTTGAATACTATACTTGGGTTCAATGCTCCCTAAGCAGGGTGACTGATGTGTTGTGCACACAAAGGGTCACAGGAAAAATGTAATAAGGCATACCTCGGATCCACTGTGCCCGCGGTGGAGGCTGGATGTTGAGCAACTTCTCCACAGCCAGTGAATAGGCCTGTTCATTACACATCATGGACACATAGTCCAGCCGGTCAAAGTATGGAAGGGCCTAGGAAGAAGGTGGAAACTGGGTCCTATGTAACAGACCAAGGAGGCCCCAGTCTGGCAGCTGGAAGCCTTGCTCTCAGTGGGCATCAGGGCTCAGTGCTGTGTGGTGGTGGTGGTGTGTCATGCAGTTTGGTCTGACTCATAGTGACCCTGCATAGGGTTTCTGGGGCTGAAGGAGAAGAAAGCCTTGCAGATTCAAACTGCTGATCTCGCGGTTAGCAGCCCACCATATAACTCTCCAAGTTTCCTTCAATGCTGTATAATATGCCTTGCCAATTTCAGAAGCCACAGGAAGACAAAACAAAATATCCCCCAAACTCATAGTATTATGCTGGTCAATATTTAAAAACCAACTCCTCAAGGAGGAGAAAAATCCCTGATTTGTCATGTTTGCCAGTTCCCATGGTGAAAATACTCCCACTCTGGTCAATTTCAAACTAGCATCATTATATAACTGGACAATGAGAAGATGTGTCATAGCACACCCTACATAGTATTTCCACCATGGGGATAAAAGCAAACACCTCAAGACAGCATAATAAAATGCAGTCAAATACTTACGAAGTGGTTTCAAGTACGTCATACCTCGACTTTTAATATAATGTATTCAATTATTAAGTTCACATAATTTTAATAATGAATGTGTTTAACAACCCCCTCAGAGAATTCTTGAAAACGTTAACAGTTGGCTCTTGCAAACTACTTTCAGCTAGCTTTTGTAAATCACTGCCAATAATCCGTTGACTCTCTTACATTTCTGAAAACAAGACAGTAAGGAACAAAAGGAATCAGTCTTAGGCATCCTGGGGAGTGAGAGATTTAGGGAAGACTGATAAGGATGGGATTTGTTTTGGGTAGGGGGTAGGAGTGAATGCAAAAACAAAACAAAAAAAACAAAACAAAGTCCTAGCACTCTGCTTAACCAACTACAGCTTCCAGGAAGTAGGTGGGGCTAAGATAATCTACTTTGGGAAAGCCTGTCCTTGTCCTGATGTCACTGTGACGTGGGATAATGTTACAGGGCTAAACTCCACTGACTCTGGGATCAGAAACCATCCTTGCCTGGACTCTTTGGGGAATCACATTCTAGTCACTGTGAGTAAATCTTATTCTAGTGACTAAATCTTAACCCCACCATCTTCTGTATCATGACCCGTTTCTTCAAAAAAGAAAGAAAAAGTTTTTGATTCGTTTCCCAGAAGGAACTCCTTCAAATCTGACCCACACCATTTGGGTCACACAGTTCTCCTAAAATCAGCAAACTCAGTCACAATACCCCTCCGTTACTCTGACTCATTTAAGTGCTTCAAAAACAGAAGATATAAGATTCAGCTGTTACTCCAAGAGCGCTGACGTCTCTCTCCTCTTTCCCTTTCCCCAGGGACACCAGATTTGACGCACCCCAGTAAGAGAGCAGGGACACTGAGGCAGCAGAGTACAGATAAAGGGGCCAGCCAAAAGTCAACTAGAGAAAAGCTGGGAGTGTAGCTCACACTAAACCAAATCCAGATGACTCAAGCATCCCCTGCCACCCCTTCCAAACCGTCCTCCCAACAAAGATTCTCCCAATGACCTTGATAGATGGTTCCCCTCAACATCCTTCTCCCCACGGGTTCTGGAAACAGCAACTCAGCAAAGGTTCATGCTAAAGCATTCCCAGATCCTGTCAACAGGCCCCGGTTCAGCCCCACACCTGCAGATAGGTCTTGTATTCAATGAGTTTCTCAGTGCCTCGGTGCAGCAGCCCGATGTGAGGGTCACACTTCCGCACCATCTCCCCACTCAATTCCATCACTAGTCGCAGGACTCCATGGGCTGCTGGGTGCTGAGGCCCAAAGTTGAGGGTCAAGTTCGACACCATTGTGTCCTTTGGAGAATCCACATCTGAGAAGTGGGAAACAGTTCATTGCTAAATGATAATTTGCCTGGAAATCCCCCATGAGACAGTAACAGTTAGCCTCTCCCATTTAACAATGGAATTAACCATATCTTATTAACCATATCTTATTAATTCTGGCTTTGCCATTTTCAAAATAACCAGAAAGAGGGTCATTACGTCGGGAGAAGGCAAAGGAGATTTAAGCTTCTTGATAGGAGGGACTATAAATCTCACTCTATGTCTCCCAGAATACCTTTCCGATAACAGTAATAGAAGACTTATATAGCCCTTGTTATGTGCCAAGTACTTGACTTACTTTAACAAATTCTTACAATTACAAGTAGTAAGAAAACAAAAATGAAAAATCAACCTGTTGTTGTTAAATTCATTTCAACTTCGACACTACTGGGCAGAATACAACTGCACCATAGGGTGTCAAAGGCTGAAAGCTTTATGGAGGCAGACTGCCTCATCTTTCTCCCACAAAGTGACTGGTGGGTTTGAACCACTGACTTCTTGTTTAGCCAAGCACTTAACCACTGTGCCTCCAGGGCTCCTTATTGTGTTGTTGTTAAGTGCTGTCTAGTAGGTTCTGACTCATAGCGAACCTACTTAGGGTCTCCTATATGAGTACTTGTTGTTAAGTGTTGTCGAGTCAGTTCCGACTCATAACAACCCTGTATAGGGTTTCCGTGGAGCAGCTGGTGAGTTTGAACTGCCCACCTTGCAGTTCAAACAGACCTTGCAGTCATAGCACCACACCAGAACTCCATATGAGTAATGGTGGTGGCAGCTGTGTGTCACCAAGTCGATTTGGACTCATAGTGGCCCTGTATAGGGTTTCCAAGGCTGTAAATCTTTACTGGAGCAGAAAGCTTCATCTTCTTTTCATCCTGGGGCAGCCGGTAGATTCAAATTGTTGAACTTGTGGTTAGTAGCCCAACTCATAATCCACTATGCTACCAGGCTCTTTATAGGAGTAGTTGTTGTTAAATGCCGTCGAGTCAGTTTCGACCCACAGCAACCCTGTATAGGATTTCCAAGGAGCAGCTGGTGAGCTTGAACTACTGAGCCTGCATTTCAAACTGAATTTGCAGTCTAGGGAATTAACCCACAGTGCCACACCAGGGCTCCATATGAGGAGTTGTTGTTAAGTACCATTGAATCAGTTCCAACCCATAGCGACCTTGTATAGGGTTTCTAAGAAGTCACTGGTGAGCTTGAACTGCCGACCTTGCAGTTCAAGCGGCTTTGCAGTCTGGCACATTAACCTACAGCGCCACACCAGGACTCATATGAAGAGTTGTTGTTAAGTATTGTCGAGTTGGTTCCAACCCATAGAGACCCTGTATAGGGTTTCCAAGGAGCAGCTGGTAAGCTTGAACCACCGACCTTGCAGTTCAAGCGGCTTTGCAGTCTGGCACATTAACCCACAGCGCCACACCAGGACTCCAATACTAAGATTGTTGTTGTTGTTAGGTGCCGTCGAGTCAGATCCGACCCATAGCGACCCTATACAGGGTTTCCTAAGAGTGATTGGTGAGCCGACCTTGCAGTTCAAACGGCTTTGCAGTCTGGCACATTAACCCACAGAGCCACACCAGGACTCCTTGATTAGTAAACATCAATTCCTTTACTTCTTAAAGGTTTGTAGCTTAAGGTTTAATATTTGGCACACCAAGTCTAGAAAAACACCTTAATATTTGCCTACAATGTCAGATAGTAATCTATGCTTTCAACAGTGTTAAAATCCTTCATAAAACTTCTATAGAAATATGTTTATATTTTTTTCTAAATAAGCTGAATTATCTAAATTAGTTCTGTCCAAAGAACTTTCTGCAATGATGGAAAATACCTTATATCTGTGTTGCACTACTGATAAAGACTAACCACACACTGAGTGCTTTAAATATGGCTTGTATGACTGAGGAAGACAACTTTGAATTTTATTTTATTTCATTTCAATTAATTTAAACTTCAATAGTGACTACAGTACTGAACAGAACTGATCTAGATAAACTGCCATGGGTGAACTGTATGGAATCATAGATACTATATAGTAATTGAATATAAAATTCTTGAACTGTACTCATTTAAATTTTCATATAGGAAAAGAACAACAGCAGGTACTAATATATTCCCATTGTATTGGAGACAAAGAGGACAGAGAGGCTAAGTGACTTGCTCAGGATCACAGAGCTATAATAACTGACAGGACAGTGCCAGGATTTAAATCCAGAAGTGTAGCTCCAGGTTCAAATATAGTTATAGTGGTGGTGGTTATGCACTGTGGAGTTGGTTCCAACTCATCACAACCCTGTATAGGGTTTCCAAGGCTGTAAATCTTTATGAGAAGTCTCATCTTTCTTCCATGGAGCAGTTGGTAGTTTCGACCTGCTAACCTTGAGGTTAGCAGCCTGACTCCTAACCACTACCCTACCAGAGCTCCTCAACCACTATGATACACTGTCCTCCAAAGTCCAAAGTATCTGATGAATGGACAATTAAGCTGGAAATGTAGACTTACTGCTAAATTTGTAAGTTACCATGAAGTACTTAAAAGAAGGACAGAACATTGTGAAGACTTCATGGAGGTGAACCTGAGCTGATTCCTAAGTTTAGGGAATGATTCAGATAAGAACAGGGAAAAGAAGGCATTTCAAGCTATGCCATCAATACGCACATCTTAGAAAGAAGGAAATAAGTATCTGTTGAACTCATATAGGCCTGCACAAGAGGCAGAATATTGGTGCTGAGAAACAGAAGGAAGCAGGGTTTAAATTATCAATATCTTTAAAAACAGTTAATATTTATGAAGAACTTACCATGTGCCAAGCACTACACTAAGTGGTTTACGTTTCATCTCTTTTAATCCTTACAATAATGCTATGAAGTAGGGACTTTATTCACCAGCAATTGAAATTTGAAACCAAACCCATCTTCCGAAAGTTCAAAATTGCCTGTGTGTCACCGAGCAAGTTTTATCTCCTTGCACTATGTTGTTGTTTGCAGTACCTGTTAAGTAAAATTTGATTCATAAGGTTTTCAAAGCTGTGATCTTTCAGAATCAGATTGCCAGACTTGTCTTCTGAGGAGCCAATGGATGGCTGCAAACTGCCAACCTTTCCTTGAATCATCGAGCACAGAACTGTCTGCACCACCCAGGGACTCCTTCTTGCACCATGATTTCCTCCAAATTAGAATACTAGTACCATTTTCATTGGGTTATAGTATGGATTAAGTGAAATAATAACACACAACACTTAACACATAATTAGCACTAGGCTACTGTTACTGTTAAATTACTGAAAGGTAACTAGAAGTGTTTTTGAGCAAGAGAAAGAAAGACATAGTAAAATGTTGTTTAGGGAAGATGAAGGCAATGATATTATATAACATATTGGAGAGAGGACAGATCGGTGACAGGAACCCATTGAAGAGGCTTCAGAAACAGTCATGGTTTAATACAAGATGCATCTGAGCTAGAGTGAAGGCTTAAGAATAAAAGGGAGAGGTGACCAAAGGTGACAGACTACATGGCTTGATAATTTAGGGGGCATGGGCAGAAAGGACAAGAGAGCAAAAAAAAGCCAGGAATGACTGAAAAGTGTTAATCCTGAGGGATTAGGAGAATGATGCTGCTAATAGTCAAAAATCAAATAAAGATAGACCTCATGCTATAGGGACAAAAATGGTTTGCACTTAGGCATATTTAATTTGGGTGGCAGTGGGGAAACCACCATGTCCAGAGAGGGCGCTGGACATGTAGTATTGAACACTGGGGGTGGAAAGGAAGCTGCAGATTTCAATTTGGTAAGGGCAATCAAGTGTTACCTGGAATTTACCTTTTCTAGTCTACTCAGAATGCCTTTCCTTTCCTTCTCTACCTGGTAAATGTCATTGTTAAGAGCTGTCTAGTCAGTTCCAACTCATAGCAACCCTGTATAGGGTATCCGAGGAGCAGCTGGTGGTTTTAAACCGCCAATCTTGTGGTTATCAGTCTAGTGCTTATCCTACAGCACCACACGATTGCTGATGTTGTTGTTAAGTGCCATCAAGTTGGTTCTGACTCATGGCAACCCTGTAAAGGGTTTCTGAGGAACAGCTGGTGAGCTTGAACCAACAACTTGCAGTTCAAACCGACCTTGCAGTCCAGCACATTAACCCACAGGGCCACATCAGGATTCTTATCACACCTGGTAGATACCTATTATTATTATTACTGCTGTATTTGTTATTACTACTATATATTTGAGTTATGATGTTGGAGAATATTGAAAATACCATGGACTGCCAAAAGAACAAACAGATCTGTGTTGGAAGAAGCACAATCAGAGGGCTCCTTTGGAAGCAAGGAAGGTCAGACTTTGTCTCTCATACTTCGGACATATTATCAAGAAGGACCAGTCACTGGAAAAGGACATCATGTTTGGTAAAGTAGAGGGTAGGAAAAAAGAGGAAAACACCTCCCTTCCCCAAGGAGAAGGACTGGCACAGTGGCAGCAGCAATGGGTTCAGGCGTAGCAACGATTGTGAGATTGACACAGGACTGGGCAGTCGATATCAACTCAATGGCACCTAACAACAACTATATTTGTTGAATTGGGTGATGAAAGAAGCAAAGAATATGGGTTAAAACTTGCTTTAGAAAAGCAACCTAAAATGACAAGAATCCCAAAGCAGTTTAAAACTGTAGGGCAGGGATGGATGTGGGTTAGGACAACAGCACTAGGCACTCACCATTCCAAGGTGGAGGTTTCCAGTGGGCTGTTTCCTTGGTAGGGTACATGACAGCTCCCCCAAACTGCTCTGCCCATTCCACATCTGGTTGCCACTGCCGAGCACCTCTGGGGAGTTAAAAAATCCAAGACAAAGGACCTAAAGAGTAATTCAATCCCCTGTTCCCATTCACTCTCCAGTGGGCCCAGGGAAAGATTGGATGCTTCAAAATCCCAAGTCACTGACACACTAAACAAGATGAAATCCTAGAAGTTCCATTTCCACTAACATTCAACCTATACCTGAAATCACTTCACCCATCATCCGTGCATGCAAGGTTGGGAACTATAGTTCTTTCATATTCATATTCCCAACACAGAACACATGAACGCTAGAAAGGTGCTTATTCAAGGTCAACCGAAGAAGGACCAAGAGGTGGGAGTGTGTGCAAGCATTCTAGCTCCTTGGAGGAGCCCTAGGTTTCTCAGGCATGACCAGGGAGGTGCACTGGGGCCAACCTGGGATCCTAGTTTTACACTTTCGTGCGCGTTTTCCTACTGTCCCAGTCTCTATAGAGGCTTTTCATCAGTAAAGCATTAAGCAGCAAGGAATAAGAAGAGCACTAACTCTAATGCCGAGGGTCGGGGTCTCCTACCCCACTGATTTCACTCCCCTAGCAGGGCAAGCTCAAGTCTCTCTCCTCTCCCTCGGCCAGTGTAGGCGCTACTGCATCCTGGAGCCCTAGACTTGAGGCACGGGAGCAGGGTCACAGACCTGGGTCATTCTTTCCTATGGGGTCACGGGTGCTACGGAGTGTCCCATATTAGAGAAACCCTAGCCTCGGGAAAACCGTCTCCGTCTCACCTGTTGGGCTGAATCGGCAGTCGGCTCCCGGCCCCGGGCCGCAACACCTGGGCCGGGACACCCCGGAGGCTGCAGAGGGCCCTGAGCGCCGCCATCTTACTCCCGCTGCAGACTGCGGGAAGGAGAACCGGGCGGAAGTGCTCCTGCGCGCCTCCTTGAGGGCTTCTCGCCTATGAGCACAATAGAGTCGCCCTCTTGAAAGCTGGCAGTGTCGCCAACCGCGACTCTGACAACATCCGGGTTCTGTGTCTCTGCTTCACTTTAAATAGCGATGACTGCCGCTATCTTTACTTACGGTTGTCAAGGCATAAACCAGCAAAACTTGCCATCCCTATCAAGGACAGCAACGCACTCCACGATCCTCTGTGTGTGCCATAGAAGCTATCCTCCCGCAGCGTTCCGACGCACACTCGATCGGGGTTCTTTTCCGCCTCGGCGCTGCCTTGCTGTAGTGCTCTGCAGTAGGGTCTAAGCCCTGCTCATTTGGTTTGGTGGTTGTTAGCTACCCTGAAGTCCGTCTAACTCACGGCGAGCCCATATGTCACAGAGTAAAACTGCAAGTCTGCAAGTAGAGCTACACCATAGGATTAGGATTTTCTTGCGTGTAAGATTTACTGAAAGGAGCTCTGGTAGCGTCGTGGTTCCGAATCGGGCTGCTAATCTCATGGTCAATAGTTCGAAACTACCAGCTGTTCCGCGGGAGAAAGATGAGGCTTTCTGCTCCTGTAAAGATTTACAGCCTCGGAAACCCTGTACAGGGTCCCAATGAGTCAGAACTGACTCCACGGCACACCACCACCACCACCACCACCAAGATTTACTGAAGAAGTTCACCAGACTTTTCTTTAATGGCACTGCTGAATTTAACTACAAACTGCAGTTAAGTGCCGTCGAGTCGGCTCCAACAGATAGCGACCCTGTATAGGGAGGGTTTCCCAGGGGCGGCTGGTGGCCTTGAACCACCGATCTTTCAGTTCAAACTGGCTTTGCAGTCCACCATATTAACCCACAATGCCACACCAGGCTTTCACAAGTACCTCCCCACTCCTGAATCCAAAAGATTCTTGGGGGGCGGGGGAAGGCGCGCGGAGAGAGACAGGCAAGCTCCTTGAATTTCCATAAATCAAGTTAGGGAAAGAGACCCAAGTGAGGCTACCAAACCAGACCGAAATTAGAACACAAGGTCACCAACATTGGCCTCTCCCTAACAAGAGGGGAGGTCCCTTGTGGGTAACTCTACTATCTCTCAGGCTCCTTGAACCTACAGAACCACAGACCCAGAAACCACACTTCAAGATGCCTCATACCCAGCTTCCGTCCTGGGTGGGTATCTTTTCCCGCACTTCTTTCTAACACTGCCTCAGTCCTGGACAACAGCACAGAAAAATGGTAACACCAGGAATCTGATTCCAATTTTGTATAGAAAAGACAGAGGACCTTCCCAGCCTTGGAGGCCAGTTTCTCTTCTTTGTCTATGCTCCAAGCCCAGATCCAGCTGGGCCACCCGTTAAGTTTTTACATCTCTTCCCACCCTAAGCCTGGAAAGAGTCCCTTCCTAGATCTTCCCAGACAGGGTTTCTGGGACACAGCCCACCAGCAGCACAAAAGGGTGGGGCAGACAGACCAGGGGAGTGGCAGAAACAGGGAATTCTTAGCAGCAAAGAGAGGGGAAAGCCAGACTTCTTGCCTGGGAATAAATGGGAGCCATACCAAAGGGTGGGGTCAGAACCTTGGCTGTGAGAATTGACCAGGACCTGGAGTAGGCGGGATAGCCCCAATAGAACCAAGGGGATATTCAGGCCCCTTAAACTCATTATCCTCCACCCTTCTTGTGGCCTTTCTCTCCTTCTGTATTTGGGACATGTGATAGGGGGAAGGAAGTGTGAAGGAATTTTTTTTTTTACTCTAGTTGAGGTTGAAAGAAGTCAGGATAGGTTCTAGGCTGCTTAGCCCTGGGGACAACTTGATCTGGGACTGGAATGAGGGCTCCTGGGGTCTTCCTGAGACACTGCATCTTTTGTGCTTTCTCCCTGCAGCCAACACCCCCACACACACTGCTGATGGGACTCTAAGGCCCTTTGTCTCTCACTGCTTAGTCACCCCCTTTGTCCTCATCTCAGATGGGGGTGTGGACAGGGGCAGTAAGAACCTTCTGGGGATAGCTCCTCTTGCCCCTGCCCCTGCTTGACTCCCATGTCTTGTCTGACTCCTCCAGAACCTAGGATTAGGTTCGGGGCATGTGGTGGGTCAGGAGGGTCTAAGTGTCATGGGGAGGGGGGAGGGTGTTACAGGAAGGGATGGTCAGTAGGGCAGGTGTTAGTGACCTGCGCAGGAAGGGAGGGGAGAGGAAGTGTTAGTCTTGTCGGATATGATGTGGGAGACAGGAGGTGGTAAGGCAGAGTGAAAAGGTAAATGGGACTAGGGGGAGCTGGTCCGCACTGTGAAGGGAAGGGACCGCTGACTATACTCTCCTTCCTGGGGATTTCCTGGGGAAACAAGAGTAGCCATGGGGTGGGGTAAGCAGAAATTGCCCCTACTTCTGAACCCTTTACTTGAGAGTCCACCACAAGACCTCTTCTGAGTTTCCTCAGTCTAGAACCAAGGGAATCATATTGCTTCCTTTCCTTAGCATTACCTCTTCCATTTCCTTGCCACAGACACCGACTGAGTTCCCATTTCTCCCAGTGCTCTTGATTTCTACATATAATGCTATCTCCACCCTCTCCCTGTGAGAAATAAAGATTACTAAATATTTCCTGAAAGATCGGGTTATTATGATAAGGTGAGGGTCAGGGGAGGATGCCAGGTGGGGTACCCTTGGATTGACACTGGGTGCATCTAGATTCCTGAGAGCAAGTCATTCCTGTGCTGGGGGCCTGGGGCTGACTGGCTGGAGGCTGGAGGCTGGAGGCTGGAGGCTGGAAGAGGGTTTAGGGCAATTGAGTGTGGGTAGCAGCAGGGCCAAGAGTCTAGGGGAAGCGACTGGGAGCTGGGCCAGGGAGAGAGGAGTCAGGAAGTTGGGAGGGGGGCATGTGGAACTGGAGGCAAAATGGCAGTTCAGAGCTTTGGAGGGGGCGGTAGTGTTAACTCAGGAAGGGGGAGCCTGAGGAGGGAAGAGACGTTAGAGAATAGGAGGTACCACCCAGCATCCTCTTCTTATAAAAGGAAAAGTCGTCAGCTCCTCCTGCCTTGTCATCTGCCCTTAACAATATACTCCCTTGTCATCTGCCCTGTCCTCGCTGAGCTTTGTCTTCCCAGAATCATCCCACCTTAGGCAACACACTCCCTCAGCATTGTCTTCCTCACTCCCTGATCATTCCTCCTTGGTCCCATTCAGAACTAAGTCAAGGCTTCCCCACCTCCTTTCTTTATTCTGCCCTCTGTTGCTTCCTTACCTATTCCCCACCTTCATGCCCCAGCAACATTCCCCTCAGCCTTGGAAAACAGCTTCTAGAGGGCAACAGTGGCATGTGGAAGCCCTGAGAAAGGGAAGGTCATACCAAGTTAGGGCAGAATTCTCCCAAGACCAAAGTCCTTTCTGTGTGTGTAAGCCAGGCCCTTTCCCCAATTTCCTAATCCTCCTGGGGATCTGTCCCACCAAAACTGAAAAGAGACAGCTGAGAGCCGTTAGTGGGGTTTGGGAAAAGGCTATGTCATTAGTTGGCCCAGTGCCTATGACCCATCCGGTTGCTAGATTCCCCCCATCCCCTAAGGGGGGGCAAGTCTTTTTTTTTTTTTTTTTTAAGAAAAACAAAAAAAACGAGGATTTTGGGAAGCAATGAGACACTCTTCTTGAGTCCTACCAATAGAGCTCTTGGCTGAGTGGCTTACAACTCAGCCAATCACAGAGGCTCGGGATGCTTAAAGGAGCTGGCATGGAGAGAGGCTGGAGAGAACTCTCAGGGAGACCCACAGACTCATAGACACGGGAGAGACAGAGGAGGAGAGAGACAAACAAAGGCACAGCGGAAGGAGGCAGAGACAGAAAGGGCAGGCACAGAGACGGAACCAGATTCTCACAGAGGGAGAGCCCAGAGAAGCTACAGAAGACACAGGCAGGCAGACAAAGATTCCGGAGAGACAGGCACGAGAGGAGAGTTTGCAGGATCCAGACCACTGGAGACCTCCTCTCAGCCTAGCAGCCAAGTTTTCTCCATCTCCTCTGAAGGTCCCCAGCCCCTCAGAAAACTTTGCCTCTGACCCAATCAGGGTCTGAGCCCCCAAGCTACAGAAAGGAACTTTCCAAAGCCTGAGTGTGGAGGGCTGGGTACTCCAGACTCCTCACTGCCTCCCAACTGCAGCACGAGTGCCATGTCCTGGATGGGACTTCCCAGGAGGGGCTTGGAGGGACGCTGGTTATGGGGAGTTCAGTCCTGCCTGCTGTTCCCCACGGTGCCCCTCTCCGGGTTGGGGCACCGGTGGCGGCTGCTGCTGCTGCTGGCCTCTCTGCTGCCCTCAGCCCGGACAGCCAGCCCCTTCCCCCGGGAGGAGGAGATCGTGTTTCCAGAGCAGCTCAACAGCAGTATCCTTCCTGGCTCGGGCACCCCTGCCAGGCTGGTGTACCGCTTGCCGGCCTTTGGGGAGATGTTGCTGCTAGAGCTGGAGCAGGACCCTGGTGTGCGGGTCGAGGGACTAACAGTGCAGTACTTGGGCCAGGCGCCTGAGCTGCTGGGCGGGGCTGAGCCGGGCACCTACCTGACAGGTACCATCAATGGCGATCCAGAGTCAGTGGCATCTCTGCACTGGGATGGAGGAGCCCTACTAGGGGTGCTGCAGTATCGGGGATCTGAACTCCACCTCCAGCCCCTGGAGGGGGGCACCCCTAACTCTGCTGGGGGGCCTGGGGCTCATGTACTCCGTCGGAAGCATCCTGCCAGCGGCCAGGGTCCTATGTGCAACGTCAAGGTTCCCTCAGGGAGCCCCAGCCCCAGTCCTCGAAGAGCCAAGGTAGGCAGTCCTGGAGTCTGCACCCTGCAGTGTCCTCCCGCCATGTCTGTCCTACTGACCCTTATTCACCCTGTCCCCACCCATTTCTACTTCTGACCATTCTGCTTGCATTGCCTCTTCCACGAGCATGCTTTCTCGGTGGATCGCCTGGCAGGGAAGTTAGGGACAGCTGGGGAACACAAAGAGAGTCCTCTCCCAAGCCTAGCCCCAACCTGTCTCCTGGTCAGAATGATCCCCACCGAGGGTTCCCAGAAGTGGGTCAAAGACTGGATTGGGAGTGACCGCTTCCACCCCGCCTGGCTGGGGCATCCCCTACTGGCAGGATCCCCAGCAGTAAGGAACAGTTCGCAGCCTCTTGGCCTTGGCTCTTTCCTCTGCCCCTAATTTGGTTTTCACCCCATCCGCTTCCCTTACTCCTCCACCCCCAGCTATAAAGAGTGGTTTGAAGCCCTGGGGGATTGGCCTCTGGCCGTTGATGCTTAAAAATTGTCCTGGCAAACTATAAAGTAGGGCAGGAGTGGGCAGGGGAGGAAAGACGCCCCATACCTCCTCTCTCTGGTCAATCCCCTCCCCACCCTGTGGACTGATTTAAAGGCTGCCTGAGCGCCATCCTTTCCTCCCTCCCACTGCAACTCTCCTCCTCTTCCCTTTCTTCCTCCCTCCTCCTTTCTGGAGCTTTAATCCAGACCAGACGCTCTCTCTGGGCTCCCTCCACACCCGCCACGCTGAGATCTGGCCCTGGCCCTAGCTGCTGACTGAATTGTTCCTGCGACCACACAGGGCAGACACGTTGCAACCCAGCCCTCCAGTCCCAGACCCACAGGCCCCTGCCACACTAAGGCCTGGAGGACCCCAAAGGCCCTCCCTGAAGCAGTCCCAGTTGCTCATCACCTCTGGGTCCTACACAATCCTAGGACGTGGCATTCCCCAATCCCTTTCTCCTCCCCTTCTTAGAACCAACAGCTGATTCCTCAGAGTTACCACAAAAGCCCTGGGATTTGGGGCTGGAGGGGAGGGCCCAATCAAGACCAGTTAGGAATCCCCCTGGGGTATGCTGGGCCCAGCTGCCTCTCCTGAGTTCCAGACCCAGGAAGTGAGGGAGGGAAGAAGTGAGCCACAAGTTTGGGAAATGATTTCTGGATCCACCTCTCCTTTTTTCTTTCCAGCGCTTTGCTTCACTGAGTAGATTTGTGGAGACCTTGGTTGTGGCAGATGACAAGATGGTGGCTTTCCATGGTGCAGGGCTAAAACGCTACCTGCTGACAGTTATGGCAGCAGCTGCCAAGGCCTTCAAGCACCCAAGCATCCGCAACCCTGTCAGTTTAGTGGTGACTCGGCTAGTGATATTGGGTCCAGGTGAAGAGGGGCCCCAGGTGGGACCCAGTGCCGCCCAGACCCTGCGCAGCTTCTGTACCTGGCAACAGGGACTCAACACCCCTGAAGACTCAGATTCGGATCACTTTGACACAGCCATTCTGTTTACCCGTCAGGTGAGTCCTCAGCACCACAGACCTTGCACCTCATAGTCCAAAAAGCACCATTGCGTAGATGTAGATTAAGATGTAAATGGCACCCTTGGAGTTGTGCCACATGATGTCCTGGCCCCAACCACACTGTCAAAACTGTCTAGGGCCTGACAGCCCGGCTCCTCACTAATCTAGATCTCAGCCTATCCATCTGTGATCTGTCTCAACAGGACCTGTGTGGGGTCTCCACTTGTGACACTCTAGGCATGGCTGATGTGGGCACTGTGTGTGACCCAGCTCGGAGCTGTGCCATTGTGGAGGATGATGGGCTCCAGTCGGCCTTCACTGCTGCTCACGAACTGGGTAAAGAGGGGTTGGGGGCCTGGGGAAGCCGAGGTGGCTAAGAGATGTATCGAGGATGAGGTGAGGGAATAGTCAGCTCACCCAGGTACACATGGGGCTTCCCGGATGTTGCTTCCTCCTCCTAATACCTAGGTCCAAGGGCTATTATCCTTCGCTGCTTTTTGTATAAGCATTTCGACTTTTCTTGTTAAGTGAGACAGTGTTTGGAAACATTGTGTATTTTATGTGTGTGTGTTTGGGAGAAAGAGTTGGCACAGTATCAATAGAGCTTTTATTCACAAGAACAGTAAGGAAGAAAGTAAGCACAAGGTTGGAAATTTGGGCTACAAGGAAAAGTGGGGAAACACCCTGAGTGTATCTGAGGGAGACAGAGCAGTGAGGGCTATATTCTAAACAGCCCTCAGAGCACTCAGAGGGGTTACTTGGACTGGGGAGTGGGCTTGAGCATCCCGTGCTATAGCCAGGTTTATGAGAAACCTGCAGACCCCTAAGGGTACAGAATGGGACCCTTAGAGCCTAGCATGGTCTCTGCTCTCCCAGGCCATGTCTTCAACATGCTCCATGACAATTCGAAACCATGTGTTGGTCTGAATGGACCTGGGAGCACCTCCCGCCATGTGATGGCTCCTGTGATGGCTCACGTGGACTCTGAGGAGCCCTGGTCCCCCTGCAGTGCACGCTTCATCACTGACTTCCTGGACAATGGCTATGGTAAGCAGATGCTCTTTACCTTTCCCTGTGCCAGGCTCAACTCCTATCCCTTGCTACATTCTCACTTCTGCCTCATCCAAGTGGACAAAATAGACTCCTGAGTGTGCTTCCTCTTCAGTGTGGTATAGGGGGAAAATGCTGCTGTCTCTGTATTGATACCACTTCCTCCCAGAGTAAATAACAAAGCCTAGGGGAGGTACATTTTGGCTTAAGAGAATTAGAACTGACCTTTTATGAACCAGAATGGACTGACTGCAGGGAACTTGAGGTGTGCACACACCATGAAACAACCATTCAAGAATTCAGCAGTTGGTCTGAATAGATAGGAAGACTTAGTGTTTTGAGTTCCTACCTGGATTTTGTTCTTTAGACTGCGAGTAAGTTATTTAACTTCCCTGTATTTGTCACTGGTCTATAAACTAGGCATAACAATAATAAGTACCTCACAGATGTTTACCATCATTGAAAAGGAGGACAATGGTTGAACACTTAGCCAATACTCAGCAGCAAGGTTGGTGGTTCAAACTCAGCAGTTGCTCCTCAAAAACCCTATACAGGGTCACTATGAGTTGGAACCGACTCAACGGCACTTAACAACATTACATAATAGCATCCAAAAATTTGTAGCTGTAACTGAAATCCCCTGCCTGCCCTAGGGTTTAGATTCTAAGATTCATGAAGTCCTAGGAAGCTCAAACAATCTAGAATGCCTTCCTCAGACCTTTGCTGACTTTGTGCCCCTACTCCCTTCCCAGGGCACTGTCTCTTAGACAAGCCAGAAGCTCCCCTGCATCTGCCTGTGACTTTTCCTGGCAAGGACTATGACGCTGACCGCCAGTGCCAGCTGACCTTTGGGCCCGACTCACGCCATTGTCCACAGCTGCCTCCACCCTGTGCTGCCCTCTGGTGCTCTGGCCACCTCAATGGCCACGCCATGTGCCAGACCAAGCACTCACCCTGGGCCGACGGCACCCCCTGTGGGTCAGCTCAGGCCTGTATGGGTGGCCGCTGCCTCCACATTGACCAGCTCCAGGACTTCAATGTGAGTTTACAGGGTATGGAGGGGAAGAGGAGGGGGCCTGGGAGACTGTCCCTGAGCCTGGGAGAGAGTGTACTTATCCCACCCTCTTATTTGGCACTTCTGCAGATCCCTCAGGCTGGTGGCTGGGGTCCCTGGGGACCATGGGGTGACTGTTCTCGGAGTTGTGGAGGTGGTGTTCAGTTCTCCTCCCGGGACTGCACGAGACCTATCCCCCGCAATGGGGGCAAGTACTGTGAGGGCCGCCGCACCCGCTTCCGTTCCTGCAACACCCAGAACTGTCCAACTGGTTCAGGTGAGAGGTGGGAGCCGTGGGAGCACTTGGGAGGGGCTAGTAGAGTAAGAATGATTGTCCCTTGGGTGCTGGCACCTTAGGAATTCTACACTTGATTTGCTTTGATGGGGGGTGGCTTTATGCTTTAGCATCTTCTCTGACTGTCCATGAGGGAGAGAGGTCCAAGGGGTCTGGGGGAGGGGCTCCTGGAGCAGTGTGAAGAGGTGGGCCCTCATTGTCCATTTTGCCTCTATAGCATTGACCTTCCGTGAGGAGCAGTGTGCTGCCTACAACCACCGCACCGACCTCTTCAAGAGCTTCCCAGGGCCTATGGACTGGGTTCCTCGCTACACAGGGGTGGCTCCCCAGGACCAGTGCAAGCTTACCTGCCAGGCCCAGGCACTGGGCTACTACTATGTGCTGGAGCCACGGGTGAGGACCAGGATACCCCAGGTCCAAATACACTCTTCCCAATAGTGCCTCTGTTTTCTGATAGCCAAGATCCTCCAAAACGATAGCACGATCACTGGCATTCCCACAGTCATGCCAGGCCACTCAGACTTAACTGCTTTACTTATCCATAGAAATTAGGAAAACAAGTCCCAGACTCTGGCTAAGCTGCCCACCTGTCTTATTTCTCGGTTTCTTCTCTTCTCTTCTCTATCCCTAGCTTCTGGTGCTCCCTTTGGTGACAATTGGAATGGTGACCACTTGAGCAAGTCCTTGCCCCTCATTTTGTGGGCTCCTCTATAAAATTACAGTGGGGGCAGTGATATGTATTCTATGTGCTACACTATTTGACAGGATAAACTCCTGGTGTAGCAGTGTAGACTCAGCACTGGACTGTGAATCACAAGGTTGGAAGTTCACACCTACCAGTTGCTCCTTGGAAACCCTCTACAGGATCACTAAGAGTCAGCACCAACTCAATGGCACTTAGCAACAACAACGTGATAAAATGACAGGTTGCTGGCTGAGGAAGGACAGAGTTTTGTTTCCTTCATCCCTACTCTGGGGGAAATTCCCACAGGCTGGCTGCCCTCTAGTGTCCATCTGAGAACAGTGCCATCAAAACCTGCAATTCCCACCCATCCTGACTTGCCAAGTGTGCAACCTTTGGACAAGTTGCTTGATCTTTCTAAACCATCTCTAGAAACCCCCAGTGGCTGTTATGAGATTTATATTCATGTTTACAAAGCACTTAACATAGTAGCTGATCACGGTGTTGGTATTAACTATTGTTGAATTGGTTCCAACTCATAGGGAACCTGTATAGGGTTTCCAAGGAGCAGCTGGCGGGTTTGAACCGTCAACCTTGAAGTTAAGAGTCTAGTGCTTATCCTACAGCACTACAGCTGTACTCTAAAAATGGTGATTTTTATAAGAGTATGAGGACACTTCAAAAAGTTTGTGGGGAAATTCCATTATCTTTCTATTCCATTCTCCTCCCCTCCATCCCAGTTTTTTGAAGCCTCGCATTATCATTAGGAATAGCATCCCATATGGTGATAGGGTTTTCTCTACTTATGTATCATTCACTTCTCCTACCTCACCCAACTATTCTGATAGCCCTTCTTGACAGGTATAGGTCTTTTTTGACTCACTGGTACTGTAGGATAAACACTGGACTGCTAACTGCAAGGTCAGTGGTTCCAACCCACAGGCCACTCCCTGGAAACCCTATACAGGGTCACTATGAATCAGAACCAACTCAACGGCACATAACGACAGCAACAATGCCCTGACTTAGGAAGAGTCCTTTGTAACATTTCTTTCCTCCTCAGGTGGTAGACGGGACTCCCTGTGCCCCAGAGAGCTCCTCAGTCTGTGTCCAGGGCCGCTGCATCCATGCGGGCTGTGACCGCATCATCGGCTCCAAAAAGAAGTTTGACAAGTGCATGGTGTGCGGTGGAGATGGCTCTGGATGCAGCAAGCAATCTGGCTCCTTCAGAAAATTCAGGTTAATTTGCCATTTATTTTGTTCCCCACATCCCTGGGCCCTGGGAATACAGAGGTGGATTCAGTACTGTTTTGACTCAAAGAGCTGATAGTCTAGTAGGGGAGAGAGACAAGTATCACATGCATTCAATGGGTGTCAGCTCAGGGCCCCTGTAGGCATCAGGGAAGGCATCCCCAGAAGGTGAGCTGAGTCTTGGAGGGAGTTAGAAACTGAACAGGCACTACGGGGTGGGGTGAAGAAGGGCATCTCAGTAAGGGGGGTATTACACTCTGCAGATACGAGGAAGGGGACACATTTGTATGTGCTCAAATCTGTGCTGGATGACTCACATAGTTTGGGGAGACAACCCTCTAGACACATATATATAAACATTAGAGAGGACTTCAAAAAGCTTGTGGAAAAATGGAATTAGAATATAATGGGATTTTCTCATGAACTTTTTGAAGCCTCCTCGTACACACATACAAACACAGCTCAAAAGAGTGAGGAAGATCCAGGAATATGCTGAGCTCTCCCACATCCTCCTTCCACACAGGTATGGCTATAACAATGTGGTTACTATCCCTGCGGGGGCCACCCACATCCTTGTCCGGCAGCAGGGGACTGCTACCCCCCGGAGCATCTACCTAGCTCTGAAGCTCCCAGATGGCTCCTATGTCCTCAATGGCGAATACACACTGACGCCCTCACCCACCGTTGTACTGTTGCCCGGAGCTGTCAGTCTGCGCTACAGCGGGGCCACTGCAGCCTCAGAGACACTGTCAGGCCACGGACCACTGGCCCAGCCCTTGATTCTGCAGGCCCTGTTGGCTGGCAATCCTCAGAATGTACGCCTCCGATACAGCTTCTTCGTGCCGCGGCCAACCCCTCCAACAGCACGCTCCACTCCCCAGGACTGGCTGCACCGCAAGGCCCAGATCCTGGAGATCCTCCGGCGGCGCCCCTGGGCAGGCAGGAAATAACCTAGCCATCCCGGTTGCTCTTCTTGGGCACCGGGGCCTCTGACTTAGCTGGGTAAAAGAGGGGCTCCTGCAGCTGCCTCATGCTGAGACACAGTGGGGAGGGCCTGTGGGGTGGCACCCACCCCTCCTCTCTGCCCTAATGTGCAGGCTGGCCCTGCCTTTGTGTCCTGCCCTGGGAGGCAGTGATAGGTTGGTGGATCCAAGGTGGCTGGGAAACAGTCCCCTATCTAAATTGCCTCCTCTGCCCTGCTGGTCACAGGAGGGAGGGAGAAAGCAGGGTGGGCCCCAGTTGTATTTATTTAGTATTTATTCACTTTTGTTTAGTAGCAGGGAAGGGGATAAGTATTAGGGAACTGGGGAAACTGACTCCACCCCACATAGCCCTTAATCTTGGCTAGGAAATGCAGGGTGGTGGTGATTAGTGTAAGTGATCTCTGTGTGTGTGTGAGTGCTTGTGTGTGCGCGTGTGTGTGCTTATGTATGAGGAACATCCTGCCCTGCTTTCCTCTCCCTGAATTTCCTTTTCTAGGAAAGGAAGAGTCAAGGGTAGGATGGACCTTCAGGGAATGAGGGATAAGAATGCATATTTTTTAAATTTAAATTGAATTCAATTATTTATGTGGTCCTTTGGAGCCAGACAGTTGGGGTTGTACCCTGGGCTCCTTGTCTCTGAGCATTAATTTCCTCATTTGCAGATAAGAAAACGTCACTTGGAAATTTTTGAGGACTAAATAATGTAAATAAAGAACTAGCACAATGCCTAGCACTAGGTCAGTAAGTGCTCAATAAACGGCAGCGGCTGTTAGTTAGTGTCCTTGTCTTTCTCTCAGCCTCCACCCTCCATGGGGTCTGAAGTGCACTTGAAGGGGACAATGGTGTCAATGGTGCCTGCACCCACTCTAGGTTTGCAGAACTCTCTTCTGAATTCCAAAGGACTCTCAGAGAGAGGACAATTCTGCCCCTTACCTCTGTAAGCTTCCAGTCACAGGAAGGAGACTCAATAAACACTTAACAAAATATAATTTACAAGAACATGAATGTACAGAAATAACCAAATGACTACATTAAAACAACACCCACTTAGTAATGAAATTATTGTAATAGAAAGAGCACCAGAGCGGGAACTGATAGGTTGAATTTGAGTTGGGGTTCAACATCTTATTAGCTGGGTAGTGTTGGATAAGTTACTGATGCTGAGGCTTAGATTGCCCGTATGTAGAATGGGGCTAATAAAACCTGTTCTTAGGGTTGTTCTGAAGACAAGAGTTAGAATATTTAAATAGTAAAGGCTCTACTCATGTAAGAGGACACCCTTATGACTGGGACAAGGTCCTCAGAATCACCAAGCAGACGACTTACCCAAAACCAAACCCAGTGCCCTTGAGTTGCTTCCAACTCACAGCAACCCTATAGTAGAGTAAAACGGCACCATAGGGTTTCCAATGGTATAAATCTTTACAGAAGCAGACTTCAGAGTGACTGGTGGGTTCTAGCCATGGATCTTTCAGCTAATAGTCCAATGCTTAACCCACTGCACCACCCACCAGGACTCCTGGGAACTACTTGTTATTGTTAAGTGTTGTCAAGTCAGTTCTGATCTGTAGTGACCCTGTATAGGGCTTTTGGGTAAGTTTGAACCAGTGACCTTGTGGTTCAATCCCACTTTGCAGTCCAGAGCATTAACATACAGCACCACACCAGCACTCTGGGAACTCCTTAGAAGAAGTGAACTTGAAATGGAATTTACTAAGAGGAACACGGAACATGTTTGGTAAGGGTGAGAAGGAAGATGAAAAGAATGGCCTGAAGAACAACTATGGTGGGTGAATAGGAGCCAGGTATTCATCTATGGTGGGTGAATAGGAGCCAAGTATCCAGTGGTGACAGAACTCCTGAGAGGCAGGATACTGGGAATAGTTCAACCTTTCCTTTTGAACAGGGTAGTCTTGTGTGTGTCATGGAGGGAGCAGGGATGGGCAAGGGTGACAAGTGTACTCTGCAAGAATTTGGACTGCTAGGGATTGGTGAGTGTAGGGATATTTGGGAACTAAAAGTCCTTCACACTACTATAAGAAACCCTAGATGGACTGCCAAACATTGCTTGGGTATGGAGTTGGGAGTATGGGGGTGAGGCTGCGGTGGTTGTGGGTGCTATGCTCACTAGGGCTGGATTTTACTAATCAAATTCTGTGTCAGGCAGCACATTACATAATGCCCTATACTGCATATGCCCGGCACAGCATGGGACAAGAGCCCGATTCCTTCGGAAGCAATGGGACAAGAGTCTCCCAACTACCTCTCTCTTCAGCAAACACAATTCCACCACTGGACTCTGGCCCTTTCTCTGGCTTTCCTACAAGCTAGGTTAGAGGAGGTAGAAGCAAGAGAGTGAATCAAGGCCAGATTGTTCTTCAACTGTTTCATCTAATTAGCAAAATTGGACCACCAATAATAACATCTTCTATGGATCATAACACTGTGGGCTAATGGTACAATGAGCAGACCCTGTGCTAAGCAGACGTGAAGCAGAAATGCAAACAATATATATGTGCTAAAGGAGCTCACACTGTATTCCAGGAGGAAAGTTCTGTGCTACACCTCCACAAAGAGAAACAGGGTGACACTGAGGAACTGTGAGATAAGACTCAAGGGACTGTGTGGGTTAAGAAGAGAGAGTCTTGAACTGGGATGTGAGGAATAGGTAATCATATTTACCTATACCTTTCTTTCTTTTGACTTTTTGTTGTAAATGGAGTGAAGGTTTACAGACAAGATCATCAATTTCACACTCAACAAATCCTACACTTAGCTTCATCTCAATGATTGCAATCCCCTCCAGGCAACAGCAGTTATCCTGCTGCTTTCCTGTGATTCCTATTTCCATCCCACCCACCTTCCCATTCCTTCTCAACTTTGTCCGTAGGGTAGGTAATTGTTGCCCTTTTGATCTTGAATCATCAACCATTCAATGGTGAACATATTTTACTAGTGTTGTTGTCTCCCCTATATACATATTTACTGCTTGGTTGAAAATTGGGTCACCCTGAAAGGTGGTCAAGGATCATCGTCTTGGGTTCCTCCCGTCCCTTTCTGAAGAGTAAGCCAGATTAGTTTTTTTATAATTTTGAATTTTGTTCCACATTTTCTACCACTCTATCTGGAACCTTCTCATGTGATCCCTTTCAGAGCAGTTAATAGTGGTAGTTGGGCACAGAGTTCTACTGGTCTCAGAGTCATAGTAACTGATGTTCATCTGTTCCACTGGTTCACTGGATTAGTTGATTCCAAGCATCTTCTATTTTCATCATTCTTTTTTCTTCCACACCTGGAGAGACCAATAGTTACACCTTAGATGGCTGGTTATGAGCTTTTAAAATCCCAGACACTACTCTCCAAAGGAGGATGTAAGACATTGCATAATAGCCCTCCTTCAGTGCTTACTCTGATTCACACTTTGTGAATAACTTTCATGTGTATGTATAATTTTAAGAGGAAGCCCTTTGCTCACTGTTGTTGTTAGGTTCCTTTGAGTGGATTCCGACTCAACACAACCCTATTTAAAAACAACAACAACAACAACAAAAAAAACCAGAACAAAACACTGTCTTTTCCTGTGCCATGTCACAATCAATCGTTGCTGTGCTTGAGCCCATTTTTGCAGTCACAAAAAGGGACTGGGCTCCAAGTCACTGCCATAATTGGGTAGGTGGAGGGCATATAGTGAAAGGGAGCAAAGCAAACTAGCTCCTCAAGAAGTGATGGACATTCCAGCCCTCTATCCTAGGCAAGGAGTCCTGGTGTGGCGCTGTGAGTTAATGTGCCAGACTGCAAAGCCATTTGAACTGTAAGGTACGCAGTTCAAGCTCACCAGCTGCTCCTCGGAAACCCCTATACAGGGTCGCTATGGGTCAGAATTGACTCTCGACGCCACTTAACAACAATAATCCTAGGCAAGGTTTGACCCCTTTCCAGAGTGGTCTCCCCATACTACCCACTTCTGAGACCCAGGCTATAGACTCTACCTAACATCTTGAAGACAGGAGCCCAGTACGTTCTTGCTGTGGAAGTACGAATACATACGCCCCTGCAAGAGCTGTCTCTCCAGACAGCCCACTTACTGCCTTCACAGACCTGAGATGGGAGCAGTAACAGGAAGGAAGGAGGAGGTACTGATTGAAACAGTTCAAGTATCTGGTGTGAGAGGCGGGAAGAGGGAACAAGGAGAAGCTGGAAAGAGAAGGGCCAGTGACTGCTGATGAAGTAAGCACCCTGCTCTGGAGAGGTTCAGAGTTTGAACAAACATTTTATGGGAGGGCAAGTCTTGTGTTTGACTGTTTGTGGTGAGAGAAGAAGTTGAAGCAATAACTGAGTTAAGCCAATTTTTTAAAGCTTCTATCCCTGAGATTCTCTGTTTCTGTGGTGAGAGCAGACGAAATCTGGGCATTAGTCCAAGCACTACTTTTGTGCTAGGGGTGGGAGAGCCACAGTTTCTAGGGGATGCTATGGAATGGACTAGTTTTCATTTACAATTCTACTCCATCTCTAGCCCCACTTCTTGAATCTCTACACAGTATTTCCCCCACTAAACATCAGATTGACAGTAAATGACAAACCACTATCTCATTGGTCTAGGCTCATGGGGAAGGAGGGGAAGAAAGTGGAATTCAATGTATTAGCACTTTATTGGCTAAGAGGATACTTCTGAACCAATGGAATGTTTTCCCCATTGCCTTGTTGCTGTGGGGGGTGGGGGTGGGGTAGCTAAAATCATTGGCAGCAAGACTAGACAGTTGACAGCTAGGGGAAACCACCTAAAAATGCTCTGAAAGAGGGGGGTGAGGGAAGGTGGGTGAGCAATAATACTTAACAATTTCCCCATACAGGACCTTATGTGGGGACAGGCCCAGAGGACTTACATAGCCTTAGGAAGAAAAGGGAGAGGAGGAAGCAAATTTAAAGCATTCTTTTCAGACTTTGAGCAACCCCTCAAGCCCAGTTATATAGAAGAACATAAACAATGGCATACACATATTCAGCTTTATAGAGATATATTAGCACATTCTCTAGATAATATGTTGTTTGTTGTTAATTTCCATTGAGTCAGTTCTGACTCACAGCGACCCTGTATAGGGTTTCTGAGGAGCAACTGGTGTGTTAGAAGCACCGACCTTGAGGTTCAAACCTACCTTATGGTCGAGTGCTTATCCTACAGCACCACACTGTCGGGGACTGGCCTCGACATAGTTGTGTTGTTCACGAGTGTTTGGTTCATGAGGAGGGGATATCTGGCGGCAAAAGGGATAGCAAAAGAATACACAGAAAGACAAAAAGAGGGTGAGAAAGAGACACCCCAAAACCAGGGTGGGTGCATTACTGGCATCCGGCAGGTCAGGCGTGGTGAACATATTAGCCAGGAGGGTGGTAAGATCCTGCATGGTATACATCTTAGCTAAGCGGGCAGTACGCACCCCTTACTAGCTGGTCAGTGACACATGCCTAGTCAGTTGCACAGCACGTTATCCAATTTGTACTGCACACTTTCACCGCCTGCCTGTAATGCACACCTGGGCTGGCCTGCGTCTCCGTTTTATT